TTTCCCTCTTTCATGTCAATGCATATCAATTCTTAATAATACTATGAAAGCTGGTAGTAGTCAATCATACAGATCTACCATATTTTATTAATAAGTTCTCTTTGCATAGACAGATTCCTTCTTATATTTTCACCATTATAGTAGTATAAGCAATATGGCATTGGAGGTCGACAGCGTGGCTTAACTTAACTGGCTCTGTGACCTCTCTGCACCTTGGTTTTCTCAATAGTAAAATGGGAATAACCATAATTACTACTGTTATCAAGGGCTGTTTTAAGGATCCAATTTTAGTATATGTGCTGCCGAAGCAAGCACTGTTTTAAGGATCCAAAGAGTTAACATCTGTGATTTTTTAGAAGAGTCCCTGGTACATAGTAACTGTTGGCAACTGTTAGCTATTGTTATTAAGAATAATATTAAGTTTAACATTCCTACATATGTATTTGGGACTTACCTTATTTATTTCTTTAGGTTATATTTCTAGAAGTGAAAATATTGGGTCAGGGACTGAGCACATGTTACATTTTTATAGCTCTTCTCTAACTGCCCACAAGAAATGTACTGATTGAGGTTGGAGATGAGGAATAGAAGGAGGACTTTCAATTTCTACTCTGTACATTACTGTAGTAATAGAAGTTTTACAAGAATGCATTCATTTGTTACACAACCGAGGGCCTGCTGCATGTGTGTGTCACTGAACTATAGCTCCAGCCTCTAAATTTACTTTTAAATACCCAATTTTCTTTCCTAATATAATCCATAAAAGAACACATATCCCTTTATCTTCATCAACACCGGGTATTATCTTTAAACACTGCCCTCCACCCCCACCCCTAGAACCTATGATCTTCCATGGAGCTACCCAGCCCTTTTTCACTTTTAAATTTTGAGACAGGGTCTCACTAAGTCACTTAGTGTCCCAGGTTGGGCTCAAATTTGTGATCCTCTTGTCTCAGCCTCCCCAAAATGCTGGTATTACAGGTGTGCACAGCCACACCTGGCCAGGCATTGTTTTTTTAAATTTTTGCCAAGAGAATGGATGAAAGTCTTATTTCACTTTTTGAATTTCTTGATTCTCAGTAATACTGTTCATTTTTCATACATTTTGGGGGAAATATGTGGTATATATTAAGAAACTTAAAAATGTTTATACATTCAAGTTGGTGATTCTATATCTAGAAGTTGAGCCAAGAGAATGATGGCTATCCCCATGAATGTATGTGTGAGATGATCACCCTTGTATTCATTGTAAGAGTAGGAACTGGTTAAATAAATTATAAAATATGGTACCATCTACATGATGCTATCTTATATAACCATTTAGAAAACATATTTAAGCAGAGTTTATGTAACATTATTTTAAAATAATGAGGCCACATGAGGGAAAATTAGATATAAAAATACAGAGCAAAAGGATAAAAAATGCATCAGAATGTTAGCCATAATTATTTATGGGTAATGAAACAATGGGTCATTTTTTTTATATTTCTTCTTTTCAATGCATATGTTTTCACTTTTGTTGTTGTTGCTGTTGTTTTTTGGTACCGAGGATCGAACTCGGGACCTCGCGCTTGCAAGGCAGGCACCAAAACCACTGAGCTAAATCCCAGGCCCTGTTTTCACTTTTTAACTAAAAAAAAAAGGCAATTTTTAATTTGTTAATTAAAATTAAAAATTTATAGCCAGACACAGTGGTGCATCCCTGCAATTTCAGCACTCAGAAAGGCTGAAGTAACAGGATCACAAATTTGAGTCCTGGCTGGGCATCTTAATGCTACCCTGCCTCAAAATAAAACAAAATTTTTTTAAAGGCTGGGGATGTAGCTTAGTGGTAGAGCACTCCTAGATTCTGTCCCCAGTGTTGCAGAACAAAACAAACAAACAAAATTGCATTTATGGAGGAGTCTACGTCTGTTGGAGGAGGTAGGGGATGTATGAGAAATCTCATATATATATGGATATATGGTAGTTTCCACTGAATTTTGCTGTGAACATAAAACTGCTCTAAAAAATAAAGTCTATATTTAAAAAAAACCAATAACCTGTATTTTCTTTTATTGACTCCTATACGGACTCCTTCCCAGATACACACAAAAAGCCCTACTGAAGAAGCAAATTTAGTACAAACATAAGTGCAGAGCACAGAGCTCAGGAGATAATGGCAAATTTACATAACCAAAAATTGTAAAAAGAGGGTGAGGTTCAAAGCAAGTAAATGACAGTGAAAGGAAGGAAGATGTGTGTTGTCCCCTTTCAGCTGAAGTGCTGGAACACATGGCAGACACCAAGAAGGGACGGCCAGAGTGTGTGGCTTCATCAGGCACAGATCTCTGAACATGCAGCCCTTCTCCCTGCATAAAATCTGTGCCCTTCCATGGAACAGCCCTGGAGATCCGAAGCTCTGCCCAGATGAGGCAAAAGGAAAGGCTGCTGTGGGGCTAGCTGGGAGAGTCCAGCAGCTCACAGGCTGTCTCCCTTTCCATGGTGCAGACACTTTTAGGCCACAGCACAGTCCAGCCAGGCTACAGAACCAACTGGTAGAGCAAAGTGGGCTCTACAGGGGTCCTCAGATGAAAGGCACTTGGTGAAGTCTACAGGATGTCAAATCATTCTTATCACTGTTACTGAAACTCAGTCTGGATTTATACAAGAAGGGTTATTGTTATTTCCTTGATAAAGTTTCTGCCAGGTTTTGTTGAAAAAAAAAATCAGGATTATTCTTTGAAGCACTTCGTTCATTCATTTCCTAGACTTAGTTGTGTTCAAATTGGACCAGTCTTGTGCTTTAGTAGATGCCACCCCCAATATCGTCAAAGAAATATGGAGGAAAATGCCTTATCCTGTGCAGATATCATAGAATCTAAGGACCCTCCATTTGGGACTCGTAATAACTCCAACACATTTACATATGACATATTTTTGTCTCACCTAAGGTTTTCCTAAATAGCCTCCCATCCAAATACTTAGCAGACCCAGCTAATTTTATGCCTTGTTTAGGGTACCACGTCTCAAAGTCCAACAGCATTTTTATTCTATGCTAAGGTGTATTTTCACCTAAAACTTCAGGTCTGCTTCACTCTGTAAATTGACAAGCCCCTGCATTGTCTCCACTGTGCTGCAGGCCAAAGGCCAACTCATCCATCTCTGGGCCAGCCCTGGGCAGCTCTCTTCACTGCACTGGCTGATGCAGAGAAAATGTCAGACTGATGATGGGCTCAGGCCATGCAGGCCTGCCCTGTTCATAGACAGACACAGACACAACTGAGTCAGAACCCCTGGAGTTCTGTGCCACTGTTGGCTGTGAGCTATGGAATGATCTGCCAGCTGCTGGACCTACATGCCTTCAAGAAAAACTACCTCTCTTCCCCTTTAGTTTTTCCGTCCCCTAGGCTTGTGGTGAGGATCCCATGTGGTAACACACACCACGGGCCAGCAATGGTAACAGGCACTCCTTCGGTGGTACTTTCCTCCCCTTCAAAGGCAGTGTGGAGAGCCCCAGGCCCATAGTACTCTAGTGCTGCTTGGGCTCAGGAAACGTCTGGTACAGTGGATGATACAGTGGTTTCCAGACTTAGAATGAAAAGGAAAAAAGATGGACCACCCAGACAGTTCCTGACATTTCCATTTCTTTTTTTTTTTTTTTTTTTTTGGTACTGGCGATGGAACTTGGATCCTTGCTCTTGCGAGGCAGGCGCCGAAACCACTGAGCTAAATCCCCTGCCCAAGTTGACATTTCATTTTGTGGTTAAGGGCACAAAAAATAAGAATACAAAAGATTATGATCTATCATTTGTATTTGTAGAAGAAAATAGTCTTTATCATCCTGGTTTTTTTTTTTTTTAAGGAGAAAGGGTATAACGTAGATAAATTTAGTTTTGTGAAAAACTTTTTACTCTGTCTTTTCTCATTTTTCAGTAATCATCATAGAGCAGTGTTAGGGATTCATGCTGTTGAATTACAGATGAGGGAACATACACCCAGAGATGAAGCAACATGTCCAAGGTCACACAATGACTTGAGTGTCAGCTGCAATGCAGGTAAACACCCTTGGACATCAGAGATGCTTTCATGGGGCTGTCCAGGTGCCTGGGGTGGGAGTCAGAAGTCTGGGGTCTCAGCCATTAGCCTTGGAGACACACTTTTTGCAGTTTTCTAAACTGGGGTTAAAGTCACCCCCCATGCAGGACTGTTGCAGAACCTAATGAAAGAAGAGTTTCCAAGCCAGGCATGCTGGTGCACATCTGTAATCTCAGCAGTCCATGCAGCTGGGCCAGGAAGATTTCAAGTTTGAGCCCAACCTAGGTAATTTAGTGACTTAGTGAAATCCTGTTTCAAAAAATTAAAAGACATTTTTGTTTGTTTGTTTATTTTTGGTACTGGGGATCTAACTCAGGTCCTTGCGCTTGTGAGGCAGGTCATGGAACCACTGAGCTAAATCCCCAGCCCTAAAAAACATTTTTTAAAGGGCTAGGGTTGTAGCTCAGTTCAAAGGCCTGGGTTCAATCCCCCATACCACATACATACATAGGAAAGAGAAGAAGAAGATGGAAGAGAACTTTAAGAGGGCTCCAGAGCTGAGTGTTGGCGGTGCAATTTTAGGGTAGTGGGTTGCCGGAACAGAAGGATTGTAAATTCAATCCTAATCTAGGCAATTTAGCAATTTGTCAAGACCCTGTCTAAAAATAAACAAATGAATAAAGAGCTGGGGATGTAACGCAATGCAAAGGCCCTGTCTGGATTCAATCCCCAGCCCTGAAAAAAAAAATGTGGGAGACTCCAGAAATACATGTTGGATATTATAGAGTGAGGTATTAGGGAGTGAAATATCTGTGTCTCAAATTTACTTGAAAGTATTTCAGCCAATAAAAACAGATAAAACAAATATGACAACTTATTAACAATATGCTAATACTGTACTTGTAAGCTTTCATAGTATATATTCTGTAATAACAATAACAAAAGACTCTGGCAAGGCAAATGGAAGAGACTGCATTACTCACAGAGAAGTCTGCAGAAAGGTCCAGTCCCTAGTAGTGGAGGACCCAATCTTAGGCAGAGAGGGCCTGGGTCAGGAAGTGATTTTGCTTTTCCTGCTTCCTCCCCAGGTGGGCCTGGTGTGTGGCTGGGCAAGGGGAGCCTCTTGCCCTTCTCTTCTCAGTGCAAGGCACCATCTGACAGACCCAGCCCTGATGGGACGGGGGTGGGGGGGTGGGAGGTGCAGGGGACAGTACAGGTTGCTTAACGCAGCCAACCAGCATGGGGAGCTTATGAATATGCAAATAGGGGCCAGAGCTGGTTGGCTGCCCCCTGTCATTTCCCACCTCCACCCCAACTCAGGTGCCTTGGAAAGCCAGCTTAGCAAGGACCTTCCTGAAATGCCATCTCTCCTGTCCTTGTCTAAGGGCCTCCAGAGCCCTTAGAATGTTAGGAAATGGGATTGCCCATCTCCCGTTGCCTCCAGTGGAAAGCTCCTGACCTCTGCTTCCATTTCCTCAGGAAGGCAGCTCCAAAGTGACCATTTTTTTCCCTGTCCCTTGAGCATCAGGAGGAGGCCAAGTTCAGATCAGCACCAAAACATGGCAAGATCTACAGGAAGAAGAGGCCATGTGGCCTGTCCCTGCAGCAGAGGCTGGAACGCTTGGGGAGGCTGGTGGCTGGACCAGAAGTGCCCAGGCCTAATAGAGCTGGGGAGAGCTCACTGCCCTAACCCACTTACCCCCAACCTTCAACTCAAATTTTGCCATCTCCTTCAGCTTTGGAGATGGAGTGAATGCTGTGAAATACAGCAGTAAAAATGAATAGACTATAGCTCAATTCACCAACATGGATAAATCCTCAAAACATAATGCTGAATGAGAGAAGTAAGCCAGACACAGGCACTGTGATTCCATTTAAGTTCAAAAATGGGGACGGGGGGACTTAAAAACGTATCTATTCTCACTGTGTATTCATCTATCTATTAATTTTAATTATAGTTGAATGGAAAGATAGAATTTAGATAACATATGTGCATAGTCCCTTGTCGGGAGCAATGCTACATAATTTTAGGGAAAAATCATTTGGTTAGCTTAGTTCTCCTGCCTACAGCCCAGCTTTGGAATTCTGAGACAGAATTCCATTTTGGCCTCCGGTCACAACTGAGATCTCAATGATCCGGTGGTGCTGTGATTCTCCAGGACAAGATTACACCAGCTGAAGACATCCTGGGAGGAACAAACATCTACTGAGTTCCTCATTGTTCTTGGACTGTTACCATCTTATTTATGCGGATGTACTGAACTCTCTGCAAGTTATTCGTTACATTTGTTTCTCCCGATGTACTGAGTACTGAATAAAAGTTGCGGTAAACTGGGGGATTTCGTCTTTGCTGCCCAGAGCAGCACTGATCAGACCTGAAGCTCGGCTTCTTAGTCTCATTTTTCTACCTTTCCTGCAATTCGCCTTGTGCTGCCGTGGCTCACAGGAGACTAGGACTTACTGCAGAGGTTCTAGTAACATCCCCTTTCCCTGTTCCCTACAGTCCCTATTTTAAGGAACCCAGAGAGATGGAAGGAAAGGTATAGATAGCCCCATCTAGCATCTGGTCAATAAAGTTAAACAAGCGTACAAGCAAGGATGTGAGTGTATGGTTCAGTTACACATATTGGGGGAGTCAAGGTAAGGAAAAAGAGCACTGTGTCTCAGTAGTCCATGCCTAATCTCAGCACTTGAGTGGCTAAGACAGGAAGATTGTGAGTTTGAGGCCAGTTTGGGTAATTTTGCAAACTCTGTCTTAAAATTAAAAGGGCCGCGGATGTAGCTCAGTATTATGTAAATTGCCTACATGTGCATAGCCCTAGGATCAACCCCTAGCACCTCTAAAAAAGTAAAACAAAAAATTCTGTATTCAAGATGAGGTGATCACTCTGTGGTTTTTTCCATTAATGAAGACATTTAATCCTTTCTAAAAACACAAATTTTTTCCTTATGTAATTTGAAAGTAAATACATCTTTTTCTCAATTTACAAAATAGGCAATCCAACACTCAGGAAGCTGAAGCAGGAAGATCACACATTTGAGGCCAGCCTGGACTATGTAGTGAGACACTGCCCCCTCCCCCGCCAAAAAGAAAAGTAAAATTAAATGTGTGTGTCTGCGTGTGCATGTGTGCATGTGTACACTATAATAAAAACAAGGGGGAGGTTGATACCTGTGGTTAACTGGGGATGATGATCCAGGAGAGCCACATTGGGACATTAGGTTTTTCCCTTCCTAAGCTGTGTGGTGAGTATAGATGTTCCTTTTATTAGAGTTCCTTATACCACACATATAAATTGATATGTTGTTCAAATATTTTACAATTTAAAAAAACCCTGCTACAACTTATATTCATGAACTTCTGTCCAAATAGGCAATGTGGTGCCCTGGGAGGCTCTAAATGCAGAAGAGAGTGTTAGCTTAGGGGATTGCACCTTGGACCTTCACAGGGGCTCATATGTGAATCTCAAGGAAATCAATTTCAACCTTTCTTTTCTGAGAGGGATTTTTCATGCTACCATGCACAGGTGTGTGTAGTATCTGACTGTAAAATCTAAGATTAACTTGAATGATCACTAAAATTCCAGGAGAAATACTTTGATACATTATAATCAGTCATAAGCTTTTAAATTTTAGAGAAGAATTTAAAAAATTAATTATTAAAAACCATGCAAGTGGGGCCGGGGATTTAGCTCAGTGGCACAGCGCCTGCCTGGCAAGCACAAGGTCCTGAGTTCAATCCCCGGCACCAAACCAAACTAACCAACCAAACAAACAAAAAAACCATGAAAGAATTAAGCAGCTTTTAGGGGGATTAGCTATGTACTTCAGTGGTAAAGTGCATGCTTAGCATTCTCAAGGCCCTGGATTTGATCCCCTGTGCTCACCACACGCATACACAAATAAAGAAAAAGGCTAAGAAACATTAACAGCAACGCCAGTAGGCTATTGCCTTAGCTCTTTGTTATTGTTGTTCTAAGACTCCTCAGCTGTGTCCAGCAATGATGTTAGCACCAAGTATTAACTCACTTCACAAATACCAAGTGCCTACAGAATACCAGAAACTGTTGTAGCCAGAGGACCACATTATCTCTGGAAAATAGAGAGTGATCTCTTTCCTGACTGCCGCTCAGTCAATAGAGGAGATAGATAAACTGGACAATGTAATGCAGAGATACACACACAGTACTTTGGACACATAAAGTAAGCATTGTTAACTCTCAGAGAGGATTAAGAAGGGATTTAGAGAGAGACTTAAAGAATGATTAGAAGTCTTCAGGCAAATAGGAGGGAACACATAAAGATGTGAAGGAGTGCAACAGCCTTGGGGTGTTGGGGTGACAGCCAGCAGTGTAGTATGACTAAAGCTCAGGATCTGTGAAAGTGGAGAGAGGATCAGAACACAGAAGCTATATTATCAGATGCTTAGTCAGGCAGAAGAGTTTGGACTTTATCCTATACAGACAGAAGAGCAACTGAAAGACTTTAAGCAGGGGAATGTGGGATTAGGTTTACATTTCAGAAGGATCTTTGACAGAGGTGTGAAGGATAAGCAAGACCAACTAGCAAGTGAGAATGAAGGCTCAGGAAATTATTCAGATGGACATTCAGGACTTGATGATGGGCAGCAACTCGGCCTGGGTGTTTTCTCTAGTTCTACTTAGGCACCAAAGCCTTGGTGCCCCAGGGTCCCAGGAGAGAAGAGGGCCAAACTCGAACTGTTTTGCTGAAAGGTCTGATCTGGGGGCGATTCGGTGACTGGATAGTCAGGCACCTTCAGGAGGACCAGCCTGGGCAGACAAACAGCGCAGCGGTCTCTGAGAATGCCCACCGCTTCGGGTACACTAGCGCCAGCCGCCTCCCTCCACCGGTAGTTCGCTCTGAACACCCCTCGTGTGCGGCGCATGCCTCGGCCCGCCTCGCTTCCGGTTGCTGTCGGCTCCATATCCGGTGTCCGCCCGCCCTCGGCTCCCCCGTCGCCGCCGCTGCCGCCGCCGCGATGCTGTCTCGGTCCCGCTGTGTGTCCCGGGCGTTCAGCCGCTCCCTCGCCGCCTTCCAGAAGGTATTGTTTGGCCTGACCGGGGCTCCGGCGTGTGAGGAGTGGGCCGGCGGGCGGATGGGTGGGGAGAAGAGCAGGGGCGCAGCGCGCCGCCAGGATCGGGCACCAAGGGCACTGGGACGCGGAGGCCGCGCGCTGGGCGACCGGTGCCGCCCATGCCCTCCTGGCGGTCTTGTGGCTCCTGCGGAGCCCAGGGGCCCTTTATCTTCCCAAAGCAACCGGCGCCGATTGTTGCCTGCTGTACCCACCCTCTGCGTCGGGGCTGAGGGACCGCGCCCGTCCTGACTAATGAGACTGACTCAGAGTTCAGGAGGGGGCGCGGAGCAGCCCCGCAACCCAATTCTGGGGGCCGACTCCGCCCTTCTGTTAAAACCAGCGGGCGTCAATTCTTTTGGGACGTCGAGGTAGTCTGGCAGACCCAGTGTGTTGCACTTACCTTTGGAGTTATGAGATTCACCTGTCAACAGCACTGGGACAGGGTTGAGTGTGCACTTTGAAGAAGCTTTTTTCCCACTCTTTTCATGTTGGGTGACATCGATAATGTTTTCTTTCTCAACAGGGGAACTGCCCTCTAGGGAGACGTTTCCTGCCTGGTAAGTTCTGCCCTTGCAGTTACCTAAAATGCTCGCCCCTAGGGCAGAGCAATGTGAGGAAATCTGGCTCTGTTTCTCATGTTCAAAGACATTTCGGCTCAGATAGCAACAAATCAAAATGCTATTTAATCTGACAGCTGTTACTTATTCATTCAGCACATAATTACTGAGTTTTTACTACGTATTGGGCACTGTGCTAGACCCTCATTTAGGGATATGGTGACTAATTCTTGCCGTGGAGGAGGTTACAGGCTAGTGGGGAAGACAAAGTGAAAATTGCTAAACGAGTGAGCAATCACAAATTGTAATGAGTGCTGAAAAGAATACATAAGAGTGGACAAAAGAGATTTCTTTATTAAGTAGGTGGTGTTAAAGGTGTGACCTGGAGGATGTGACAAAGCTAGTGTAGTGAAGAGAAAAAGAAAGGGCATAGCATCTACAAAGTCCCTGAAAAAGATGATTTAGCTAGAGCACTTTTGTTGGAGAGTGTCATGAGACTATTGGAAGTTTAGATTTTCTCCAAATAGTTTTGGTTTTGGTGGCAGGGGGAGGGATAGTTATAATAGATCTTACATAGCTTATTTTTCAGTAAATGGCATACATTGTTGAATGTGTCCGCTCTTATTGTAGGCTTACTTTGTGCTGAGCATTGTTCTAAGTGATTTCTGTGCAATTTTTAATGTAGTCATCATCAAATAACAAAAAATATATTTGCTTTATTTTACAAATGCATAGTATAAGACCAGAGGGGTTAAGTGTCTTGGCCAAGGTCACACAGCCAACTATTGCTCAAGTTAGAGCCACCTGACTTCTTCCTCAGCCTGACCTCTTAACCCATCATGTTCTCATTTACTAATGTACTCAACAGATTATTTATTGAGTGCTGACTACAAGGCCAGCCCCTGTGCTAGCTAGGTGATGGGGAGACAGATGGTCTCTGCCCTCAAGGAGCTTATGGGCCAGCTAGAGAGACAGAGCAAGTACGTATTTAGGCACACATAAGGACATAATTATATTGTGGTTACTAGGAAGGAGAAGTACAGGGTGTAGTGAGAGGCTGGTATGATGTAGTGTACTTGGGAGGATAATGAATGCAGGGAGAATGTTGATAAAAGCTTCCCCAAAGAAGTGACATTTAAGCTGAAACTTGAAAAAAACATGAGGCAAGAATCCAGGCAGATGGAATAGTTTGTGCAAAGGTCTCTAAGCAGGAAAGGACTTGACCAGTTATAGAAATGGGAAGGAAGCCTGGAAAAATGGGGTTAGATGTTATACAACTGTGTAAAATACTTGAACTTTACCGTAAGAGCCAGAGAAACATAAGGCATCTAGCACATTGTCAGTTCATAGTGGGCTCTCAGTAATAAACTTTCTTTTCAACTGGAAATCATGAAAGATGTCAGAAACATTCTTCTCCACTTTATAGAGTGGCATAACAGAACAAAGAGCCTTGGACTTGGGTTTTTGCATCTTGGCTCAGGGATTCACCATGGGCTAGTCACTTAACATTGGGAAGCCCTATTTATATATGAAGTAATAATGGCAGATGGTCGTTCTACTTCAGAGAGTTGCTGTGAGACTTGAAGATGAGAATAAGGTCATATGTGAAAGTTTTTTATAACCCTAAAGCACTGTACAAATGAAACTTGCAGTAGGATAAACTCTAAATTGGACTCAGGATTCCAGAAATCATGGGCTGCCATAATGTAGGTCAAAGACATGCTATGCTTAGAATTTACACTGCATAGTCTGGTGCTGGTCACAGAGGTGACCGACTGACTTGACTCTGGGAATGTTTGTGAGGTGGTGGGCATAAGGGGAAGCTGTCTCAATTGCTGTCTCAGGAGGAGTTCTTAATAGATCTGAAGGAGGGAAAAAAGACAAAAGAGGCTGTAGTTTTTAGGTATTAGTTGAAGAAATGCAGTTATTTATGATAAGGACAGTTGGTGGGAGAAAGGGGCCCTCACTTTGTTGAGAATGAGTAGGGTGGAAGACTTCAGGAAGAGCAAAGGAAAAATGAGCTGAAAGGTGGGAAGTTTATTTGCTTTGTTTTGAAACAAGCTGGACACCAAGACTAAAGTTCCTCTGCCTTTGCTTCTAGGGTTTAGTCAGGAAAGTTTCTAACCCAGTTCCCTCAAAACCAGACCAAATACCCATTGCTTCTCCATTTTGATTATGTGAAGTTGCAGGATAAGTTGTCACATCTCTTTTCAAGCTTCAGTTGTATTTGAAGATGTGGGGAATAGAGATATTTTATTAGGAAGACAGGGATAACACAAATTTATGCGTTTCTAAGGTAAATAAACTCCTTTGGGCAATGCCATCAGGTATCGCCCCTTTCCTCCCTAAACACATAACCCACTCGCAACCACATTTCTCTCTGCTATTAAGGTTACTTTGGCAGAAAAGTTTGAGAACCAAGATACAGTGTGATTAAAAATTATATTGTCTACAGCTAGTTCTGCTCTGTCTTGGGGTAAGGGAATAAACAGACCTCTTTTCCATCTCATATCCTGTATAAGATAAGAGTTGTTGGTTAAGAGTTGTTTTGTTTCTTGCAGGGGTCTCCTTATGTCAGGGACCAAGTTACCCTGACAGCAGGAAGATTGTGTAAGTATCACGGAGGGTACAGATATATGGCCACCAGGTATTTTCTTAGATAGCAGTTCTAAATTTGACCATCTTGTTTCTTCATTGGTCTCCAGACCTAGAAATTGAGGTGGCTATGTTGGGTCCCTAGACCTAACTTTGATGATCATTTTTTTATCTATTGTGTACCTTGGTGTTAGACCATGCCAATGTTGGGTCAAGAGTATACCTGTTCTAACCAGGTCGTTAGATTATAACAAAAGATAATTTGGAACCCTCTTTTTTTATGGGAATAGAAGTAGAGAGTGCTTCTAAATATTCTAGTTGGATACAGGTGCAACTGAAGTGCTGGAGGCCGTGTTTATTGTAGACATTGAGAGCATCCTCTGGTAGTCTAGTTACAAACAGTTAGAAACAGTAAAAGCAAAAGTCTAGCTGATCCCTGGTACTTTGACTAGTTCAGAAGTAATGCTGTTACCACATAATGCAGAGCTTGGTGAAAGGCCACCCATATGTATTTCAGATTAACTTCTGCTTATACAGGTTGCATAAATGCTACTTTGCTTTCCAAGTGTTTTCAGTGTGGTGATAAGAGGATGCTCTCTAGTAACCTGTTCAAGAGCTATGAAGCTACTTTGTCTATAGGGAGAATCTTCAAAGTGAAGAAACAGCAGATTAGCTTCCTTAATGTGCATCACAATGAGTTTTGTTTAATTCAGAAAATGTTGCACTTGGTACTAGAAGTATGAATTCCTGTGTTATTTTCAGAGTGCAATTTGGCAGTCATGAGTCTTTGAGTTGTGTGTACCTGGTGATCTAACAATTTTGTTTCTAGGAATCTACACTGAGCTAGCACTGTATATCCTGCTTTCTCTCAAAATGGCAGACATCAGGGTTAAGCATGTTAACATGTTCACACTATGATAGTGGGAAAAAAAGCAGATTATAGTGCAAAGTGATTCCATTTTCTGCTGTATAGTACAATCCCATTATAAACATTCTTTTTGCTGTTTCCAAAATTCTGCAATGGACATCAATGCTTTTGTAATTTAAAAAGTTAGACTTGGGATGGGGATTTAGCTCAGTGGTTCTGCCACCTGCCTCGAAAGCTCAAGGTCCCAAGTTTGATCCCCAGTACCAAAAAAAAAAAAAGTTAGACTCAACATACATTATTTATCTGCAATTTAAATGAAAGTTGAGCAACAGTTAATCCTTATGTAATATAACAAGTATTTGAAAGTAAATTATTATTTTAAAAAACTCCAACACTTTCCAGGCATGGTGGCACATGCTTGGGATCCCAGCACTTCGGAGGCTGAGGCAGGAGGATCACTGCAAGTTTGAGGCTAGGCTGGGCTCCATAGTGAGTTCAAGGCCAGCCTAAACTACATACTGAGACCCTGTCTCAAAAAACCACTAAACTTTGGGTTAGATCATCCCTAGTTGTGTTATCCTAAGCTAATACCTAGTTTTATGTTATGTGACATCTTTTTTTTATGAAAGAAGTACTTTATTTAAAAAAATCTTTTATTATAAAATTTTTTTGCTTTTATTTAACAAGTAATTATATGGTTCAAAATTCAGAAGACAAAAAAGGAGTGTCCTTGTCCTCTAGCCCCACTGAATGCCTCTTCCCAGAGGCAGCTGGTGTCCCATGTTCCTGGTGCTGGCTGAGCAGTTTCTGCACTTGTGTGTTACTCCTTAGTTTTTGCCCATAGGCATCTGTGCTTCCCTCCAACTCCCAGTGCTGGAACTCTAACCTAGGGCCTCAGCATACTCTACCACTGAGCTACACTCCCAGCCCTTTTTCTTTTTGTTTTTATTTTGAGACAGAATCTTGCTAAGTTGCCCTAGATGGCATCAAAACCTGAGACCCTCCTGCCTCAGACTCTTCAGTAGCTGGGGTAACAAGGATGTGCCAGCACAGCTGGATGTGGGCATATGTTTTTACATGATTACAAACAACATTTTGTGTTCTCTGCTTTTAAAAATTTACATTTTTCCCCTTGAGTCTATATAGACCATATAAAGTTATTGTGACGAGTCTAAAGATGGCAGCCTCCATAGTGAGGGGTGCCCTGGCACTGCGTACGAATTTTACTTGGCAGGTTGCTTTTTTCCGGAAAATTCCTTGGACTGCAACAGCCAATGAGCTGAGAAAACACTTTGCTCAGTTTGGTCATATACGAAAGTGCATTCTTCCTTTTGATAAAGAGACTGGCTTTTATAAAGGTGTGTGTTGGATTTACTTTTCTTCAGAAGAAGCACTTCAGAATGTAGTGCAACATGAAAATCACATAATTGATGGAGTAAAGGTCCACATTCAAGTTTAAAAACCAAAAATTTTGCAAGGAGATCAAACATCTAATGAAGAGAAAGATTTCTGAGATGATTAAACCCATTAAATAAACACAAAACAAAAAAAATTATGTGACATTATAAAAGTAAAAAAATCAAAAGGCAACTTAAATCTGTTTTACTTTGCTATTGTAAAGGTGCTTGTTGAATATCCATACAATCCTTGAAGTGTAAAAAGTTAAGCCTCCATCGGTACAAGTCATTCTCTCAAATTATATATACCTTTTCGCCCAAGTTACCATGTATTTCTATGTCTCACATTCTTCAGAGGTAATTATTCATGACTTTGTGCCTACACGGTGGTATTGTTCACCATTTTACACTATTTAATGTAAATGCCATACCAGAAAATGCCTTGGTCTTTGAGATTCCTTTGGAATGAATCTAGAATGGATCTCAGCAAGAGAACAGGAGATAGTTTTCGTGGGTTTTTTTTTTTTGCATAACACCTTGTTTTACTTCTGAGTTAACTGTCATATCTTGCTGCTTTATCTGATCTAAATCTGTAGTCCAAGGACAGAATTTCCATTATACCTGGTGCATCAACATGTACCTCTGAGGGAATGATTTATATCTTATTTGGATTTGGTTAGTTAACCTAATCCAGATGCTGAATCCTTTTGGTGAGTCTGCATTTGGACCAAAATACTTACTTTTTTTTTAGAGAAGTAAATGTAAATCTTTCTGTTTGTGAGAACTGGCATTTCATTGCAGTACAGGGCACTATATAAGGCACACAGGCAGCCAAGCTCTGGGACTGTACCTGCTGAGGCAGAATCTGTGGATCTGGCCTGGTGATGAGTACTTTGACAAGTTCCTCTGGATAACAGTGGTGGGCACCCTGGGCAAGTATCCCTGATTTAAAGGGAAGGTGACCTGTAGTGCCTGAACTAGACTAAAATGTGAGTGATTCACCTACTAAAGGAGTTAACTTTTCTGTTTCTTTTGCAGCATTGACAACAGTAGTATCTTCAGTGTTCGCTACTTTAGAACCACAGCTGTGTGCAGTAAGTACCTGTTTTCTTAGGAATGTAGTTTTAGTGGAAAGAGCAACAGCTGGCTAAGTTTAATTAAAGAGAAACATTAAAAAGGAAGGGGGAAAAAAGGACTACTTGTAATTTTTGCTTTATTCCTAGAGAATGATGTGATTACAGTCAATACCCCAGCATTTGCTGAGTCTGTCACAGAGGGAGATGTCAGGTGGGAAAAAGGTAGGATTTAGTTTCCTTTCACTTCTTAAGTTTAAATACCTCCCTAACTGGCTCCCTTCCCCCTATGCTAATTAGTGGAACCTATGGCTTTACACCCCTTTTCTTTTGTGCGGATACATAGCTACATCCACTTTGGCCCCGTAGAAAATCTGCTGAAACTCATGGCTGCTGGAGGCTCTCCCCTGACAGGTAGCCTTTGATTGTCTTTTCAGCTGTTGGGGACACAGTTGCAGAAGATGAAGTGGTTTGTGAGATTGAAACAGATAAGGTGAGCTTGTCCTATGTTAGAGGTAATTTTTCATGATCAACCATGAGCTTTTTTTTTTTTTTTTTTTTTTTTAAGAGTAGGAAAAATTTGAGAGAAAGATAGCTTCTGTCTAAAAGGGACAGAAGAGAGACCAGAAAATGGGTTGCCCCATGAGCTTCTTAATCTAAGGAAAGAAACGGGTTTAGCTGTTCTTTAATTTTTAACTAGCTCTAACCTTAGTTGTAAAAGTGTTGGAGTAACTCATTAAAAAGAAAAGCTATTTTAGATTTTTCTGCAAGTATATACTAAGGCCACCTAGTATCTTAAGTTACTTTAATAACTTTATAACTTCAGTCTGGTAGCTCCATTTTCTTTGTGGTGCATAAGCTGTTCCAGTTGCTTTTCCATGTATCATTTGAAAACAGATTAAGTGAATCTGTTTTAAGGTTTCCACAACAGGATAGAAAAAGTGAATCTTCACAATAGCAATTACTTGTCATTGCTCTGACTCAGAAAGTGTGGCCGTAGGTGTTTCTGCATACAGGGCCTTCAGTAAATCATGTTGCACTCTTGTGACTCATGGCTAGGATTTCATACTGTTAATTTGCTTATGCAGGGTAAAAATGCGAACTCTTTCTTTCCACCTTTCCTCCTTCTTTAGACATCTGTGCAGGTTCCGTCACCAGCAAATGGTGTGATTGAAGCTCTTTTGGTACCGGATGGAGGAAAAGTCGAAGGAGGCACTCCTCTCTTCACACTCAGGAAAACTGGTGGTAAAGAAGTTCTCCGGGTGGTCAAGGTCTCCAGTGTTCCCCCTTGGGCTTGGGGCTGAGTGTACTGTACTAATAATTCTCTGATATCTCAGAGACTCTTTGAGATTCTAGTTGCCCTTGAGGGTATAGGAGGAGTAATATTTATAATAGAGTGAACTTTAAATGTCAAGTTCTAGAAGAAAAGAGTAGTTTTTTAAAAACCCTCATAATATTCCATCCTTTCCATGGATGTTTCTTATACTGGACCTTTTAAAGTTACAAACAAGGATTCTGAAGGTAGTGTCCCCTTCTCTAACGCTGACATGAGAATCATATGAGAGCTTTGAAAATAATACAGATAGCTGGGTATGGTGGGGCATGCCTGTAATCTCACATTGTGAAAAGCTGAAGCAGGAGGATCACAAGTTTGAGCCCAGGCTAGGCAACTTAGTGACTTAGTGAGACCCTGTCTCAAAAGAAAAAATAAATAAATTTAAAAAGGGAGAGTGTGTGGCTCAGTACAAATGTCCTAGGTTCAGCCCCCAGGACCACAGTACATACATACATACAAACATACAGACAGACATTATTAGGTACTATGACTCGGAGATTCTGATTTATTTATGTTCCTCTAGTGATTCTAATACACAGCAGGACTGAGAGCCACTGTTGTAAAGTGAGAAGAATTATTTCATGTTGTGTGTTACGGAGGATTAAGTATAGTTTCTGTTCTCTCGTAATAGCTCTAGTATTTCTCTTGGGAAGAAATGAGAAAGAAAGAAATTTGTACTGGACCTCATAATCAGTATTAGAGATATGTTTTTCTGATTGTTACATGCTCAAACTACTAACATCTCTTTTATTAAAATAATCAAGCAGAAAGATGTTAGATTGCATCATTAAGGTTAATCAGGGCAAGACAAGAAGTTCGAGGTTGGAAAAAAATGTGTAGTGGTAGGCTAGGAAATAAGATTGAATCTTCCAGTTGAAGTCCATCTTCTCATCATTCATTTTTTAGTGTCAAAAGAAAATTCTTATAAAACTGCTGGATATAAAACTGAATATAATCTCCAGATAGGTAAAAATTGAATCATCTAAAGTTGTTTATTTATTATATGACTATCATTGATTTATAAGAGTCATCCTGGATGAAATGCTTTGAACTCCTAAGCTTGAATGAACTCGTGCTTAAACTATTTTTTAATGGTGCAGAATATTCTAGCTGAGCACCGTGGTGCATCCCTGTAATCCTAGGATATAGGAAGCTAAGTCACGAGGATCACAAGCTCAATCCTTCTTGGGCTACATGTGAACTTGAACTCAGCCTGGACTACATGTGACATCCTGTTTCAAAAATAATAAAAAAGGGAATATTCTTTTATATGTAATGTTAAAATAGATGAGTTTTATCAGTATTACTATAATTAGAAATGGTAACATTTCTGTGTGTGTTTTAACACTTAAATTGCCTGGGCTTGTTTTGCTTGGAAGTTTTCATTTCCTTGGGCTCAGTAGGACCTTTGAAAATACCTGCTGTGCTGGGTGTGGTGGCACACAGTGGGAAGCTGAGGCAGGAGAATTGCAAATTCAAGACCAGCCTGGGCAATTTAGTGACTTAGTGAGATCCTGTCTCAAAGTAAAACATAAAAAGAGCCAGAGACATAGCTCAGTGTGAAGTCACGAGGTGGCTGAATTTGACAGTTGATATATGTGAATCTGGAAGGCAGCTAAATTGAGCCACTTAATCTGATAGAAGGCATTTAGGGTCCCTGGGGAATAGAGAATAGTGCCTTATGTCATTATATGTATTTCATAGTGTCTTGCATATAGCAAATATTCAGTAGGCATTTGTTAATGGATTGAAAATGGGGCTTTTGCCAGTAAATTTGTTTAGAATCTGCATTTTGGTAGTCTTCATTCCAGACAGTGCCAGTGATGTCTATTTTTCTTTTTTAGCTGCTCCTGCTAAGGCCAAGCCAGCTGAAGCGCCTACTGCAGCCCCGAAAGCAGAGCCTACAGTATCAGCAGTTCCTCCTCCCCCTGCAGCCTCCATACCTACTCAGATGCCACTGGTGCCCTCACCCTCACAGCCTCCTTCTAGCAAACCAGGTAAGCCTCCAAGTCCCACGTTTTTCTCTGGGAGAAGAACACCTTATCAAGTACCATGTTCCCTCACTAGCTATAGGCTGAGACCACTCATGGCTCTGAATAGAACAGGTTGACTGCTTTGTAGAACAATCTCTAGACTTTATACCTTAAACCCTTATATCTGGGTTTACATCCAAGCTTTCTGTTTGCTAGCTGTGTGACTTTGGGCTACTTACTTCCCGAGGAGATTTTTCATTTGTGAAGTCAGAGTGACACTAATACACTTCAGAATATTCTGAGAATTAAGTGATAGTTCAATATGATTACACTGGCATTTACTCAGGAGATGTTCCTTTCCTTCTCTGATGCAGCTGTACCTTCTCTCTTCATTTTCAGTCTCTGCAGTTAAACCCACTGCTACACCTCCACCAAGTGATCCAGGAGCTGGCAGAGGTCTGCGTTCAGAACATCGGGTAAGCCTCTGAGGACTCATTCAAAGAGGTGGGGGGCAGTGTTGAGGTTAATGGAGTATGAGTGTAATTGTGCCTACCATTGAATGGATGGCAGTTCATGCAGTTGGCCTTGATAAAGAAGTAGAGTATGGAAAATGGCTTGCTTGCAGTCACATTACCATCAAATGATAGGCTGGAACCTGCAATCTTCTCTACACTTGTCCCATAGTTGTTCCACTGTTTTTCCACTTGTCGTGGTTTTTCCACAGTGGCTTTTCCACTGTGTTATGCTACCAATGAAATGCCCATGAGTAAAATATTTGCAGGGAATGGTAACTTAGTAACACACTTCCTCCCTCCCATAGTGATGCACACTTTAAAGAGGTGGTTTAGTGAGAGCTCTCATTGTATACTTCCTGGATACTTAGCTATAGTTAAGGTATGTAATACACAGTAGCAATATATGTTAGGCCAAAGATAAAACCTTAAGGAAGTATGATCAAGAGTTAGGGTTCCTCTGCCTGAAAATGCTTCCTAAAAATACTGTGACCTCAGGAATTTGTTGCTTGTAAGTTTCCGTTCCATAAGTAGCTGTTCTCATGCAAAGCTTTACCAATAGAAATTGCCCCTTCAGTGATGATTCTTAGATTAGCTGGACAGAACTACACTGCATTCTTCCTTTTTATGTATTGGTTTTGGTGTGTAAATCATACCATTTCCTGGGCCTCCATTCTTGGTCAAACTTTACTCACATCTGAGTGAGTACTTTTGCCCTCTGTTTTCTCATTGTTGCTCAGAGAAGGAAAGCCACCACAAAAAAGGGGAGGGAAGCCTGGAGCTCTTGTCATACTTAAATCTGATACTCTTTGCCATCCACTCCTGGCAAGCTTAATCATCTGACTATGTAGGGAGTCCTCAAGCCAGAGATCATACTGTCAATACTTATTCTACTTTCACTTTCAGGAAAAAATGAACAGGATGCGGCAGCGAATTGCTCAACGTCTGAAAGAGGCCCAGAATACTTGTGCAATGCTGACCACTTTCAATGAGATTGACATGAGGTGGGATCTCTATCCCTTTTACTCGCCATGTCTCCATGTTCTTTTTTTGTTTGTTTTTGATACCGGGGATCGAACTCGGGACCTTGCACTGGTGAGGCAGGTGGCAGAACCACTGAGCTAAATCCCTGGCCCTTCTTCTTTTGGGGAGAACACTTAACTTGCCCCAGTCCTACCTATTGCTGCTTGCAAAACTAGCTGGACAAAGAAGTACTTCTTGGCTTTATTTGGTGTTGACTTACACAGGACGACCCTTGGTTTTGTCCTCTCGGATTTTCTTCTTTTTTTGGTACCAGGGATTGAATTTGGGTCCTTGCGCTTGCGAGGCAGGTGGCAGAACCACTGAGCTAAATCCTCACCCCCCTCTCTGATTTTCTTAATACTATGCCTGTCTCCTCTGTGACTTAGCCTTTCAGACTTTCATACCTGGGTCTTGTGATTTCTGATAAGGCTAGTAATAGTTTTAAACTCTGATGCTTAATGTCAGATTGCCAAGCAGAGATGGCGCACCCTGGCCAATAGGGCTTAATCCCAGGCCTAGTCATGGATGGAGAACCCCTGACAGAATTCCTGGAGCCAAGGCCCTTCATGCTGATATTTTTCCGACAGTTGACTGCTCCTTGTACATGTTCCTGTGACTCACAATCAGGCAAGGGTTGTCCTCTTTCATTTTTTCCAGCTTTGGTAATGAAATGGAAAGTAGGTTGTGTTTAAAAATAAAAATATCAGAATATTAAAAGAACTAATTCACTGAACCCATTTCTCTGGTGAGCTAATTGTTGATTCACCTGTTTTCAAGACCTTTTTTTCCCCTTAATACTGGAAGATCGAACCCAGAGAAGCTCTACCATTTAGCTCCATCTCCAACCCTGTACATATGTACGTATATATGTATTTATTCATTTTGAGATACAGTCTTGCTGAGTTGCCCAGGTGGTACTTGAACTTATGATCCTTCTGCCTCAGCCTCCCTGAGTGCAGGGATTATAGGCATGTGCCACTGCACCCAGCTTTCTTCAAGATTTTGGTTTGTGCAAGTATCAGCACTATAGGGAAGAGAAAGTAGTTTAATTTAACAAACATATTTTGAGTGCTTATTATCTACTGGCAGCTAAAGTATGGAATTCAAGAGGGATATAGAGATGAGTAAAAGAGGCTCTGGCTCTCTAGAGCTTATCATTTGATTTGAATGAACTCAAAGTCTAAGGGAAAAAATGAAATTATAAAAATGAGTATGAGGGCCAGAGATTTAGCTCAGTGGTCCCACCGCCTGCCTCACAAGTGCAAGGACCTGGGTTTGATCTCTGGTACCAAAAAAAAAAGAATATGAAACGGAGAAAGGAGTGAGTTCATTTGCTTTTGAGATTGAAGGTAGTGGTAGCAAGGGTAAGGTTTAGGAGGGTTTCCTGGAGAAAAGAGTTTTTAATAGGTTTTCAAGAATGACTGTTATTCCACTGGACATGGCAGTGCGTGCCTGTAATCTCAGCTACTTGGGAGGCTGAGGTAGGAGGATCTCAAGTTTGAGGCCAGCCTGGGCAGCTTAGCAAGAACCTGTCTTGGGGCTGGGGATGTAGTTCAGTGGTAGAGCACTTGCCCAGCATGTGCAAAGCCCTAGGTTCAATCTCTGGTACCTTGAGAGAATATGACTAGCATTTTAACAAGTAGCATTATAGTGAAAGGTCATTCCAGACAATGTGAACAGTCTGGACCATGACATAGGCAAAACTATAAGAAATAGTCAAAGATAATTTCTGCCATTAAAAATAGGCATGTTACCATTATATATATGTAAAATGTACCAATAAATGTTTTGTATAAAAAATTTTAAAAATATGTATAGGAAAGAATGGTAAAGAAGAGCATATTTTTGAATGTTTTGAATGCCAGGGTAAGAATTTATATTAAATCAGGAGGTAAACCATCAAGTCTTCAGGTCATTTATCTCTTTTCTTCATTTTGTCCGGAGTATTAAATCTGCTCATCTACTTTTTTTTTGAGGTGCTAGGGATTGAATCTAGGGCCACATATGTTCTAAGGAAGTACTCTACCACTGAGCTACATCTCCAGCTCTGCTTTTCCACTTTTCATCAGAGAAATTTGTTTTCCTTTGGAAGGGGTCTGAAAAATAAAAAGGCGTGGCTCATTAGGGCACAGTTGATAGTTTGTGGTACTTTTAGTATATGTCATTCATTCTGTTAAGCTTTCTAAAGAGACTGGATGTCATTCCACCCACAGATTCTCTGTTGCCTGTAGTTCACAGGGAAGGACCTTACCTAATGAATCACAAAGGCTACAGCTTATGTTTCAGTGCATTAGGGCCAAATTGAATTGGACTTTGAAATTCTACCCAGTTTCTTAAGACGAAACATGTAAATATTTGTGGCTCTGAAGGATCCAGTTGGCTCAATAGCCTTAATCGGAAGTTAAGTACAATGGCTGTATCTCTTTTCAGTAGCTAATTGAGGTGTCACCTAACAGTGGCCTAGGGTCTCACTGCCAGTAATTTGGTTTAGATCGAGTGCCCTTTGGGTCTTGTGTGGATTAGCTAACCTATAAGGGCCCTTTCTGAGACTTCCCCCTTTCCCCTGTTGTTCCAGTTCTGCCTCCAAGGGCAGAGCTCTGAAATAGAAACTCCTTAATGACCAGACAGTGGCATTCAGGCAGGTTTGAGAGCAGAGATATTTATCATTTCTCTTTCCCTATTCTGCAACCCTTCTGTCTTGGGAACCAGTAATGTCTTTAGAGTGGTAATCCTAGCACTAAATAAGGTTAGACTCAGGAATACAAACATTTAAAACCCAATCAGTTCCCCTAGGAAATTTTCCTTTTTAAAAAACAAAAAGTCTGAAGGGAGCAGTTAAAGTTGTACCACATCCTATCTTTCGTGCTAATGTTGAATTAAGCCATTATAGGGGGAAAAGGAGAACTGAGCATTTTGGCCTGAGATAAAGTTAAATTTTATTTTTATCTTGAAATACTGTTCCGATAAATACAGAAGTTTCTGCAGCAAAATGATGGGAAAGCCATTTTGCACTAACCTTGCTGTGTATGAAAAGCCAGTCCTGACAGCCAAAAGCTGTTCACATTGGAAAGGCTTCTTAGCAGGGAGGCCCTGCTGCTGAATCTGAAGGGGACAGGCCTCCCTCCACATGAGAGCATTTTTCTAAATAACGAGAAAACCACATTTGCTGGGGATTTGGCTCAGTGGTTCTGGCTCCTGCCTCGAAAGCGCAAGGACCCAAGTTCAATCCCCGGTACCAAAAAAAAAAAAGAAAACCACATTTATTAAACTAATTTTAAGGGCAAGCACTATGTCTTCATTGTCTTTGTATCTTGGTACCCAACCCTGACTCTCAAATGTGGTGGTGTTGCAGTGCCTGTTTTAAAGAAACAAACAGAACTGCTAACTCTGCAGAGATGAAGAGAGAATCTGCTGAAAAAAAATGTCATTTGCCCTCTCCTGTATACCCATGAATGCTTTTGCTCACATGGAGCCCATTCACCTGTGGATGGTTTTGTTTTAATTTTTCTCTAGAAAGCAAGACTATTGCAAGGAAAACAATCAGGTTTGGTGGTTTTTAAAAAATAATTCTGGGCCAGGGATTTAGCTCAGTGGTTTCTCTGCCTGCTGTGCAAGCACAAGGACCCAAGTTCAATCCCCAGTACCAAAAAAAAAAAAAAAATTCTGGCCGGGCATGTTGTCACACACCTGTAATCTCCACACTCAAGATGCTGAGGCAGGAGGATTGCCTCGAGTTTGAGGCCAGCCTGGGCTGCCTAGTGAGTTCAAGGCCAGCTTGAACTACACAGTAAGACCCTGTCTCAAAAATAAATAAAAATAATTCTGACAGATATTACTTATTTTATAGACTAAATATTTTTTTTCCCCAAGATGGATAGCTCGTGATTTTAATGTAGTCTGAAATATTTTCTCATCGGTGTGCCATTGTGATCTCTCCTTTTGTACCAGGGATCAAACTCAGGACCTTGTGCTTGCGAGACAGGTGCAGTGCCACTGAGCTACATCCCTGGCCCTCTCCTTCATTTTCTTTATCACTGAAACCTGTGACTTCTAGAACATGAGAAAGCCTTGTAAAGGGCTCAACCCACCCTAAAGAGATATTAGTCCTGATTCTTTCTATGTATTTATTTTTTATGTACTGGGGATTGATCCCAGGGCCTTTGCAATGAGCTACATCTCCATCCTCTTTAAAAAATTTTTTTTATTTTGAAACCAGGTCTTGGTAAGTTGCTTAGTTGCCCAGGCTGGTGTCAGATTTGTAGTCTTCTTGCTTCAGCCTTCCAGAGTAGTGGGATTGCAGGCATGCACCCCTATACCCAGCTTCATCCTAATTCTTTTATATCTGGTTTTTGTGAAAGAACAAGGTTATTGTATTGACCTTTAGTGAAATATTTCTCTCTTTTTTGGTACCGGGGATCGAACTGAGGTCCTTGCACTTGTGAGGCAGGTGGTGGTACCACTGAGCTTAATCCCCAGCCCTTGTGAAATATTTCAAAGCTTGAACTTAGGTAGATGGTATAGAATAGGGGAAAGCTCACCCAAGCTTCTTTTGTGGTCACTTTTCTTTTGTAACATATTTTACAGTAACATCCAGGAAATGAGAGCTCGGCACAAAGATGCTTTCCTAAAAAAACATAACCTCAAACTAGGCTTCATGTCGGCATTTGTGAAGGCCTCAGCCTTTGCCTTGCAGGAGCAGCCTGTTGTAAATGCAGGTGAGTCGCTTGTGGCCAGAATTGCAGAGGTCTTGGGAGGTAGGTATATGAACACAAACTGCTCCAACATTTTGGGGTCAGCACACTGGGCCCTTTTATTTCCTAACTCTGGAAATATGGCTGGTTTTCCCAGGGATTCCTTGATTCACCTTCCTGAAATGCCATTATGGTTACTGTCTTCCCACCAGATGGGCAGAATAGTTTCTCTTCCCAGTGCACAGTGTGGCAGCTGCTTTGGCTGCATATCCTCCAGGCTGCCTCAGGTTGGGATGGAAGCTTGTGGTCTTGCCTGTTTCTCAAGCCCCCAGCTCACCCACTATGTGCCCTGTTATGTTGGGGCCTGACTTCCACACTTGACTTAGGCTGAGTGTTGACCTTTGATCTCTTTGAGATGAGCCTTTTTGGGAAGCCTTTGGTTTGGCCTCCTTGTGGACTTGGTACTAGTTCTTTCCTTTTTACTCACCCATTTTTTTCTGTATTGAGACACTTCTTTGTTCCCTGGAAGGTTGGAGAGGGGTCAGTGACACTTGAAATCCTCAGCAAGGGATCTAGAAGTAGGAGTCCTAGTCCTTTCCTTGGAGTGCTGTGCTGTAGGTAGATAGGCGGCTTTCTCTGCTTTGCCCAATGTATTCTTTTGTTTCTCACATTCTTTTCACATCTTTCTGACTGGCTTTCTCTTTTCCCTCAGCCCCCTTTTATTCTGCTTGCACACACTTGTGGGCATCTGTGAAAGTTTTCTTAGCTTCTGTTCATTCACATGCTTTCCTTGGTGCCTTGTCTAACATAACCACATACTCTGTGGGAAAAATTCCCAAGCTTTTTTTTTTTTTTTTTTCTTCCATATTTGGGATCGAACTCAGGACCTTGCTCTTGAGAGGCAGGCACAGCGCCACTGAGCTACATCCCCAGCCCTCCCAAGCTTTTATTTTCTCATAAATACTAGATATAAATGTTCAGCTGCTGGCTTGCTATCTCACACTGACATAGTTAAAAGTTGGACCACCCAAGTTCCTCCTGAATCTCATAGTGAGAGGCTTCCCCTTCCTCTTGTTGAGAGTGGGAACCAGAACGGACAGCATCTCTAAACCCTGTCTTCGTTTGCCGATTTGCCCCTTTGGAGCACTTAATAACACTGGGTGTTCTCCGCTAAGGGAGGGCATGAGTAGAGCTAGTTAGCCAGAACTTAGTACACTCGTATCCCATGGAAGCCAGCTGAGCCTAAGGACTGCCAAAGAACAGATGCTACTGCCACACACAGGGAGGTCAATCAGGGGACTTGGGAGATGGTATTGTTGTTTGGGATGGGAGTAAGTAGAGTACCACCTGCCATTTGTAATGTAATCATCTTTGTGGTGGTTGACCAGACCACATTGTAGCAAGCACTGCAGATTCTTACTCCGTTAATGCAAATATCATCTCATTAGCCCTAGCCTGGGGCAGTGTATATGACGTGTGTTCTCTCTCATAGTGATTGATGATGCAACCAAAGAGGTGGTGTATAGGGACTACATTGACATCAGTGTTGCAGTGGCTACTCCACGGGTATGTCGGGGCAGGAGGTGGAAATGCTGATCTTGAATCCTCAGCATAACTGTGTGAAGAAGCAGATCATATGGAGAGATCATTTCTGTAATTCTATATTTTTAATGTTTGTAATAATTTTTTTTCTTTAACCATACCACATTCTTATCTTAATGCCAAGCCTAAATATCTTAGGCTTTCTTAATTGCAGTGAGTAATAAAAGGTATTCTGAGTAGGGGAAAGCATTGAGTTGAATCAAGGAAGTTTAACTTGTAGTGAACGTATAGGATACTGTTAATTTGCAACTGAAGACAGCTTTTCACTCTTTAGGGTCTGGTGGTTCCTGTCATCAGGAATGTGGAAACTATGAATTATGCAGATATTGAACGAACCATCAGTGAACTGGGAGAGAAGGTAAAGTAGAAAGAAGCATGTGTATGAGGTGCTGGGCCAAAGAAGAGAGAGAGACTGCAGAAGGTTGGGCTCACCAGCTAGGAGTATTCAAGGAGATATAGCCTCACTTGTTTCCTGAGAAGTTTCTAGCTGCCAAGAAAGGTGGTAGCCCATGAGAGCTAAGTACAGACATCCAGCATAGCCTAGCATCTTCAGGTGACTGAAATCTTATCAAGAAGACTTGGTTGGGGAAGAAAGGTGGTCTGGAGTCATGCGGCTTCTCCAGTGGAGCACTATTTTCAGTCTCCTCAGCTGAACAGCTGTCATGTGGAAGCTGGAGCTATCACTAATACCTCAGATACAGCTTTCTGGACTTACTTTCTTTGGGTGAAAGAACTTGAGTTAGCTTAATGTTTTAATTATGAAATTTCTGTCTTTAGGCCCGAAAGAATGAACTTGCCATTGAAGATATGGATGGTGGTACTTTCACTATTAGCAATGGAGGCGTGTTCGGCTCGCTCTTTGGAACACCCATCATCAACCCCCCTCAGTCTGCCATCCTTGGCATGCATGCCATTTTCGACAGGCCAGTGGCTGTGGGGGGCAAGGTAGGAACCCTCACTTCTAAGGTCCTAATAGCCAGCTGATGATAAGAAGGAATCGAAATGATTATTATAAGGCAGTCACTGTAATTTCAAGCCTAAGTTATATCTCTTAGTTTCTAATTAATAACTAAGATGCTGATTCTAAAATTGTTATCTATGGGTCAGCATCATCTGGGAACTTGTTAGAAGTGCAGATTCTTGGACCTTTCTCAAAGTTCCAGAAGCAGATGTGTAGACATTCTGTTATGCCTTAAAAGTTTGAGAAGCATGGAGCTGAAAAGGCTCACCCCTTCACCTGGGACATGCTTCTTTGCCAACTAGGTAGGGACTGAGGGATAGAGTTAGAAATGTAGTCCTTGCTCCAGGGAACAGGACAAGAAAGCACAGCAATTTATGAACTGCAGAGTTGTGTGGTCATGCTTAGAAGTTTTCTGGTAGTTCAAGGAATTAGGTCAAAGGGGCTTCAACTAGTTCTTAAAAGATAGGTTGGTAGCCAGGCATTGGTAGTGTATGCCTGTAATCCCTGTAATCAGGAGGCTGAGGCAGGAGGATCATGGCAAGTTCAGGGCCAGCCTGGGCTACATAGTGAGTTCAAGACTAGCCTGAACTACATGGCAAGACCTTGTCCAAAAATAAAAAAGATTAGTAGGAAAAAAGCTTTCTGAGACACATGTATTTGGAAGCGTTTTGGATCATTAACTTCTTTGTGAACCCCAAAACCCTAGATCTTATCCCTTAAAAGTGGCCATACACCCACTTTGTCAGAATTTGTGGGACCTACAAATTTATTTCTTTAAATTTAACTCTAAGGTGGAGGTGTGGCTCAGTGGTAGTGTGCTTGTCCAGCATGCATATGACTCTGGGTTTGATTCTCAGCTCCACAAAAGTAAATAAGATGTAACTCAAAAACACCTACTCCAAGCAGCTGGAATTGAAGAGAAAACCTTTTCTGTAGATAACAGATGAGTTGGAGGGCAGAGTTGTTTCTTGTTTAAACTTTTTTTCTGAGTAGGGGAACTGTGCACTAAAGGTGAAGGTTAGTCTTTGAAATTGTCCAAAGTATGCAGAAGTAACATTAGTAGGAAAGGCTGTAGAACTAGGAGCTTTCCTATGGGCTGTGTGTTCTCATCTCCCTCCTTCAGTGGGGTTTCCCTGCCCTACTGGAGACAGACCTTTTAACCTCTCATCTCTGCAGGTGGAGGTGCGGCCTATGATGTATGTGGCACTGACCTATGATCACCGGCTGATTGATGGCAGAGAGGCTGTGACTTTCCTCCGCAAAATCAAGGCAGCAGTAGAGGATCCCAGAGTCCTCCTCCTGGACCTTTAGGAGGAGGCCATATGCCCTACAAATCAATCATGCAGGAACTGAAAACCAGACTTCTCCCTGTCCCCCATGGGTCCCAAGTTAGCCTGGTGACAGGCAGTCACAGGCTATTGGCCTGAAGCAAGGAAGCCAGGGCACGCACTATGTAACCAGCAGTCATAGGTCTTCTCTTGTTATCCCTGCTGGGTTCTCTCACTCTTATATCCTCTCTTGCCTTCAAATATCTTAATTTGCTTAGGCTTGAGAGAGAGGACCTTATAATGGATGCTCATTAATATTCCTGCTTTTCTTTGGTTAGTCCTCTGCAAAGATGATTTTGCTTCTCCCCATTGCCAGTATGCCATAGGGAAACCACTGGGGACCACGTGACAGTTTCCATCTTTGGAAAGTGATCTCCAGAGATGTCTAGGGAGGATACTGTGCCTCCCAAACTCAGAGCAGCATCTTCTCCGGCTATCCACATTTTCACTTGATGCCACCTGTGTGGAGGTATTGAACACAGGTGAAGAGGTGCTGCTGTGCTTCTTAAATGGCACCATCATTTTCAGTTTTCAGTGACTTCAAAATGCCTCTTCTACCTCTTCCAGGAAGCGCAGGCCAGGGGATCTAGGGGTGGGGGGGGAGTGCTCAGTGGGAGGAGAGGACAGTGTTGCTGTGAGGTCATATTATAATCATAGATGGGAGCAGAACCCAGGCCTGCCCTCATGCTCTCACGTCATTGGCTCACACCAGGAAAACTTATTTTGGCATACTCGTACATGACTGTGGTCACACCAACCCTTTCCAGGCTGCTAGGAGCTGTTCTAGTACGTTGTTCTTGTTTAGAGCAGATGCTAGCACATGGCAGTAAAGGAGAGCCTGGTCACAGTGATGTTGAGAGTCTGGGAGGGGAGGCATCCTGTGACCAGCTCAGATTGACTTGAGCTTCTAAGTTCAAGTTGATTTAAGCATGTGGACTGAGATGTCGTCTTTCTCCCCATGTGGCCTGCAAGGAAGTAAGGGCTTGGCTCCTCCCCTGCCGGATACAGATCTAGGGGAGAATGGAATGTGGTGGGGACCAGCCCTAAGGTGTCAGTGCCTGGTGGTAAAGTGGCTGATGTCATCTCAGGTGCTGCATTTTGTGTCTGGGCACTCATTGGAATTCCTTGGAGTGTGGTTGAATGCAAGTGTCGTGTCATGAAAGCTGCTGGGCTTTATGGCTTTGTATCTGCTGCATCCAGGCCTGAGACTGCTGGCACTTGACATGGAGCCATTAGTGCAGTGCCCCTTTTTAATCTGGAGCCAAGAGGCAAGGCTGGGGGGAGGGGTGGGGGAGGTGCCAGTACTGAGTGCCTGCAGTATCTGCTACTCTGTCTTCACCGAGCAGAACTTGTAACTCCAATATTTAAAGAAACTGATTTTGAATGAAAATTAAAGGACAGTTATTCTCAAGCAGGGTTCCTGCATCTGTGCTCCTTTTGGTTCCTGAGGTTGTACAAGGGCCTACCGCTGCTGCACCAATGAGTGTCATTAGCTTTGAAAGCCACTTAATGTCCTACTGGCTATCCTGTGGTCCTGTGCTTTTGACATAAGTTACCACTGTATTAATACAACAGAAGGTGGAACCCTCTCTGCCTGCTGAGAAAGCATGCTTTTCTCTTAAGGCCCCAGATTTCTGCCAGGGAGCCCGTGAGCCAAGAGTCAGACCAGACTTATGCAGGAAAATTGTGGTTCTGCCAAGTCCCCTCTAAATGTCACCAGACAGCTTTACTTTTGTGGGGGCTTGCATTACTTTTGGGATGGATTGGGGAGGTGGGACATCTCGAAATTTCACTTGGGCTGGATCATGTGTATACTAAAGTGCTCTGGATCAGCATACACAAATGAGGGTAGGTCATCTCCTAGGAGCAGGTGGCTATGAGGGTCAGGGGACAGCACTGGTAGCTAACCTAGACTGACTGCAGGTGACAGGCATGGTAGCAGTCCAGCTTTAAATGCAGCCTATATTTCCACACAGAATCCTTGTCTGCTGATCGGCTTAAAGTGAGACCATCCTTCTATGGAGAAGGAAGGAAGTAGATCTTACAGGGTAGAACTAGAGCTTGTAAATAGTGGGTGGGGGGAAACTGGGCTCATGAAAGAAAGAATTTTAGAACTGTCTGTCAGGTCTAGGCCTTGTTGTCAAAGCTTTAATTTTTCTAGTAGACTTACAAAGTAGCCCCATTTTCTTGAAAGGTCCACCTAAGCCTATTAGGGCTGGGACAACAGTATTCTAAACTGAAGGCCCAATAAAGAGCCAGATGTGCTGCATGTGTTGGCTGGATGACGCCCAGAAGTGTCTTGCACTTCCTGAAGCAGTGGCTGGAAGTGGTCTGGCCTGATGGGAGTGTGACAGCAGGAGGAAGAGATTGGAGGCTGGCTCTAGCAGGCACTGAGTGGGCTGTTAGGGGCTCAATTTTCTCAGGAGCTACCATCTTACAAGGAGTCATTGAAGATTAAACTAGTGTCCCACCTAGGCACCCTGACTCTTCCTGCTTTTTATTTTTCTGGTACCAGGGATTGAACTCAGGACCTTGCACTTGCCAGGCAGATGTGGTGCCACTGAGCTAAATCCCTGGCCTTTTTGTTTTGTTTTTGATACAAGGTCTCTATAACAGCAATCCTCTGCCTCAGCCTCCTATATGCTGGGATTACAGGCATGTGCCACCAACTCGAGCTGCTTCCTCTTATTTCTCATAGAGCCTAGTACCCACCCCCCATTTCCCCTGAGGCTGCTCTGCAGGGACAAAAACTGCTTCCTAGCATGCCCCAAGCTCACTCTTGAATGCATCTAGGGGAGTTTGGAATCTGGACCTTCTAGCTGGTAACACTGTGTTAATGATGCCAGGACACCACAGGAAGAGCAGGTTTTATTGGGGGATGGGGAAACCCCGGGGACAGCCAAGACATAGACCAAAGGGAGTTGGCCACAGGCTGTGCTTTCCCCTGTCCTCTGTTCACAGTCGGTCCCCCAGGACACAAGTCTGGGAGAGCTGGGCTTTCAGAGCCTGACTCAAACCTGTCTGCTCCACCTGGGGGTGATAGAGACGGGGAAGGAGCTGGGGGCAGAGGTGTAATGAAGTTTGTCTTGATGCCACACCCCAGTGACAGGGTGAGTCCTGAAAGGAGCCCTCAGACCTGGGGAGGAGTTGTCTTTGAGGTACCCACTTACCCCAGTTCGTTAGAGACCAGAAGCAATGTGCTTCTGATTGAAAGTGTAAGCAATCGTTCCATGTGTTTTGTGGTGTCTCATTCTAAAAGGGTGAAGTCACAGTGGGCAGTGAATTGAGTAGATCCTCATGATCCAAATGCAGAAAAGTGAAGAGATCAAACTCCTGAGAAGGAAATCCTAATGGGTGTGACCTGCCTTAGCTGCTTCAGCCCCTCTCGGACCCACAGGCCAGGTTCCCCCACACAGGTGGGCTAGCTGAGGAAGGAAGCTCATTCTCTTTTCAAACTTGTTCTTAGTGGCAAAATTGTCGCTTTCTCCCCCACTTCCCTTTTTTGCTCTCCAAAGGCTGAATTCATAAGATGGGCCTGGGCAGGAGTGGAGAATGCATCATCCTGTCCCCTACCGACCCCACTCTACAGATTTGTCCCTGCTGCCTAGCCTCCCTGTCCCTGGGGGACAGCCTGTGGTGGGAGCAGGCCACTCGTTGCATGACTTAAGCCAGGACAGCCCTGGTTTGGGTCCACTGAGCTAGTGGATCAGTATCCTGAGACGAGTCTCCAGAGATGTCCAAAGTGTGGCACAGCGTGGCAGTGAATGTGTCACAAAACCTTGAGGTAGAGGCTCAGCAGGTGATCAGTTCAGAGCTAGTGTGACAAAGGTGAACCCTTGAATGTTGTCGGTGTTAAAGGTACTAGGTACGTGCTCAACAGGTGTCTGTTGACATGGCTGGAAAGGGTAAGCCTGGCTGCCCTTCCCTTGTAGCTTCTCCAGGGATGGCCCTCTTGGAGCAGTGGCAATAATTGCTTCTGAGGTCCAAATGCAGCTGAGCAGGAAAGGCCCTACAATCTTGGCCTGAAGCTCATTGATCAGAGGGGCCAACCCTGGGTAATAGGCGGAGGCTGAGGAGATCCAGACCAGGCCAGCAGTTTTCCGTTGCCCACTCTGCCCCTCTTACCCCACCAGTCTGCTCCACTGGATAGTACTGAAAAAGGGGTGGGACTTGAGTTTGCTGACACCACCTCCTCTGGCCCCCAGGCGCCTCACAGGATCGAACTGCAGCAGCTGCAGGGAGAGGTTAGGTCAGCGACCCCCCCCCCCAAGCCTTCTCCACCCCCACTGCAGTAGCAGGGGCCCACCTCAAGGGGCTCCCTCGCCATGGCCCTGGGGGGCTCACTCTCCCTGAAACAGCCCACAAAACCATTTTCCCTGGGGGGACATTGGTGGTGGTTGGCTACTGAATTATAGAAACCCTTTGGCACCCACTTAGCATCCACGTCTCACACACGTGGTTATGGAGATTCTGTTCATCCCCAGTCTGCCCTGCCCCGCCCCCCCTTCTCACCCATAGGCCAAGAAGTCACCTCTAGGCCAGGCTGTACCTCACCTCAGTCAGCAGGGAGGCTGCTGGGTGACTAAGCCCCTCTGGCAGCTGGAGCTGGGTGTGGGCCTGGAATCCTGAGTGGTGGCTCTGGGACAGTGCCTGGGAGGACACAAGCAGGAATTCTGAGGAGGCAACCCCAGGAAGGTGTGCACTCCTGGTGTAGCCAGGAGTGTTTCTCTGCTCTTGGGTCACATTCCACAGGCACCTTTTGCTTAGGACCTGTTGCGTGCAGACTTGCTAGGTCCCTGACATATCCATTAAAGACACAGCCTCCAAGGAAAGGGGCTTGTGCTGAGTTTAGGGTTTGAACCAAGGTCCCTCTGGCTGCAATGCAAGCTTGTTAGAAGAATGGGTCTTAGGTTTTGATCAGGGCGGGCACTACTGGGAACAGCACAGAAATTTGTCTCCTTACAGAAAAGCCTCTGAGGGCTATTATTCATTTCACGTTGGCCATGGCGTGCTGCCCTCGTGCCACCAGGGGCATGGCAGCAGAAGAAAGTAAGACCATTCCACACCCAAAGGTGCAGCTTGGCAGAGCAGAGGGACTCTCTGAAGCTGCAGGGAGGCCAGGAGCCTTGGGCAGCAGAGGTAGTGAGAGACCAGGAAAGCCATGCAGGAGGTCATGCATCCTGTGTGTTTCCTGCTCAAATGCAGTTTACCCAGTCCCTTGCTTCCTAGCCTAACTGGGCCCAGATGCAGTGCTGAGCTCCTCCATGCAGAAGCCAGAGGTCAGAACTGTCCCCTGAGCAAGAAGGTGTGGAGGGGGAGCTGGAGCTCCGGACAGGGCAGTGGCTCTCTATTATCCTCCAGCTAAGATCTGGGGGTTGCAGCCCCAAAGGGCATGGGTGGAGAAGTGAGCAGTAGAGGAGGTTAGGGGGATGACCTGGGGGACTTCCAAGGAAAGAGGGCTGTGTCATATCCTACCTTGCCTAAACCTAGGCCCAGGTGCTCACTTCTAGAAACCTTTCCCAACTATCTCAACTCTTAACTCACTTTCACAAAAGTTGAGTCTCATTAGATATAGCCCCCAGTGTGGGGCTGCTCACTGTGCACATGGCCTGGTGGGAATGACTTCTGGTGGCCTGTGAGTGACAGGACATCCACCCCAAGGTCTTAGAGAAACAGGCAGCTTCTGTCCAGACACTGGACTAAACCCTGCCATCCCGCACTCAGCAGCACCCACCAGGGCTCTGTACCTTGCCCAGCTACTCACCATTCCTGTCAGCAGTTCATACAGTATTGAGCCAAAGCTCCACCAGTCACAGGCTTCCGTCAGCTCAGCGATCCCACCCACTTCTGCAGAAGAAGAACATATCCCTGCCTCACCCAAGAGGGCCCTCTCCATTCTCCTCATCCTGTCAGATACCACCCATGCTCTGTCATGCTCAGCCCCCAGGCTCAGTCTACACAAAGGCACCCAAGATCTAAGGTCCCCTACTTGCCTGGGGCACTGTATAGGTGGTCCACAGCCTCCCTGCAGCACTGTGGCTCCACTTCTGACCACTGGCCAAAATATGTGAGCCGGATGTGACCTTCTCGTCCAGTGTGAGTAGAAAGAAGAGGGGCAAAGGTTGAGGAGAGCATCACTGAGCAGCTGGCATGGGGGAGGCAGCTCCAGGACATCCCCTGACACAGTGACAGGGCAGGAGCCAAGGGCTGTGTTGGCAGAATCTCCCTAAGGGCATGGCCCTGGGGGACCCAAAGATCATGGGATGTTCCTGGGAGCTGCTGCCTTAGACACATGGGGCACAAAGACAAGCCAGACACAGGCAGAGCCTGTGTGAAAAGTCAGAGATGGAAGAGCAGCATGTAACCTCCGAGGTCCCCTTGACCCGGGGACCTCCCAGGCAGGGCAGTGTGGTCAGGGTCCTACCTGCCTGGTCCAGGAGCAGGTTCCGGGGGTTGAGGTCCCGGCACAGCACCCCCTGCTCATGTAGGGCCTCCAGTGCCACCAGCATCTCAGCCGCCCACTGCTTCACCTGCTCCTCCCTCACGCTCCAGACAGCCCCACCACACGCCAGGCTGGACCTTTCTACTGCTGGGGGGCTGTGACCTCTGCCTCGGCCACAGCCCCCCAGCACCTGGCTGGCCCCCTCACGAACCCAAGGCAGCCCCTGGGGGAGCCCAGGGTCCGAGCTCTGGCCAGCCCGCCTGACTTGCAGGTGCAAGGGGCCACTTGGGGCTTTTGTGAGGTCCGAGGAGCAGGAAGCACTGGTCCTGGCTATGGATTCACTTTCAGGCTCTCGCTGGGGCCTGAGGGACAGGGCCTCCCTGGCTGGGGTGGCTGGGGGAAGGCTCTGAGAAGTCTGAGGATGCTCCAGAGGGATTCTGTTCTGCACAATGGTGTGGCCCTGAGGGAGCCGTGCTGGGGTCAGGAGGCTGAGGCAGGTGTCGAGCTGGGCCCTCGTCTTCTGAGTGGAGCCAGACCTGGGGCCAGAATGCTGGGGGTGCACCTGGAAGCGCAGGTGGGACCAGAGGGTGCCTCCTGGGCCAGGCAGAGGGAACAAGCATGGGAAAAGAGAAAGTGTGGACACCAAGCCCGGCCCCACTCTGACCTCCCTTCCATTTTGGGCATGGCTCCTCCACCATCCAGAGGTCCTGCCTCGCTCAGCTTCCTCACCTTGGCCACCTCTTACCCTTTAGCCCAAAACACCTACTTCCCTCCCCTCAGCCCACCCACAGAGGGCCCAGCCTCACAGCCTGCAACGCACAAATGCTTAACCCCAGGGAGATGTGAAGTATTTAGTTTTGGTTTGGGAAGTGAGTTCACCAGTATTCAATGTATTCTGGGGTTTTTTTTCTTTTCTCTTTCTTTTTTTTTTTTGGTACCAGAGATCGAACTCGGGTCCTTGCGCTTGCGCAGCAGGTGACAAAACCACTGAGCTAAATCCCCGGCCCTCTTTTCTCTTTCTTTTTAGGGGGGATAGCATAACAAAACTTAAAGGCTGGGCATGGATCATACGATGACTGTATTCATAACCCAGGGATGTACCTCATTATGATCATAATGATCTGCTATGTGGCCCCATTTCTGGTCCTTACAGCTTCAGTTAATACCACTTTGTTGTATAGCCACTTTGAAGAGTGAACACAAGCCAGGAAAATGAAAAGAGCCAAGACTAGAGGAAACAGTGACAAGGGAGACAGCTGTACAAATGCTCTCTTGCCTGCATAGGATGTAGACATCCTCCCCTGCTCCCTTGGTGCCATACAGTCCCATGACAGCCTGGTCTTGCCACCAGCCTCCAGAAAGGATGGATCCCCAGTGTGTGCTATGCATCTGGACCATGCCCCTCCTTAGGGCTCCGTGTTTTAAGGGGGTCAATACCCTAAAGGCCTGAGGAGCTGACGGGGGTACCTCGGGCTCCCTCACCTTGCACATGCTCCAGGTGCAAGAAGATGGAGTCCTCACTCACGAAGTACCGTAGTAGCTTTGTCATGTAGGGGACCCCATGTGGGATGATGGTCAGCCGCTCCCGGCTCGCCACATGGCACCTGGGCAGGCTCTGGGAGGGGGCAGGGCAAGCAGATTAGCTGTGGCCAGGCCAGAGGTTGCTGCAGCTAGGGAACATCCTAACCTTGATTTCAGGTGCACCCAGATGAGAGGTGGGAGCCACTCTGAGGAGCAACTGCTTCTCCCAGTTCTTAGCCTGGCTCTCACCCTCTTTCCCTCATGGAATCTAGGTCCTCCACCCTCCCGCCAAGAAGGAGTTTGCATTGAGTGTGTCTGTTCTGAAGGCTGGGGCTCAGAGTTGGAACAAGCAGCTTTTGGATTTGGAAGGCACATGGGTTCCAGATGTACATTCTGCGGAAGGGGTTCCCCTGAGAAAGTCCCAAGAAGGAATGCAGCACGGCAGGGGCTGGGTGGCACCTGCCTTCACCACGAAGGTCCCTCCAGTTGCTGGATCCTGGACCAGCTGCACCTGCCAAAGCAAGCCCATAAGGCAGGGGTCAAAGTGCATGCTAGTTTCCTGGCTCTTCCACTAGGCTGAGTCACTCCTGGGGTAGGTCAGGGAGGCCAGACTCTGGTGGCACAGAGTATAACCCTGCCCCCAAGCCAACAGCTATCCTGTCCTGCTCACTGACCTTGCTAGACCCACAGGTCTCAGCCCAATGCTGCTTCCTTCAGCTTCTGGGGCTCCAATGCCCTCTGGGCTCACCCTCGGGGAAGCCTTATCACAGTGGGTCTAATTTCCTGTCTTCCCCTGGACTGTGGGCTCCATAAGGGCAGGGATCATACTGCTGCCCAGTCTTATTTCCAGCACTCTGTAGTAGCACAGGCATGGCACCTGGCCCACAGCACCAGATGTTGGGGTTGGGAAAACCTCACAGAGAATTCCCCTTCTCCCTGCCCACACTGGGCCAGGCCCCATGTGGCCCAAGGACAGGGATAAAGAAATCTACCCCTCACCCCAGACCTTGGCCAGAGCCCACTATCCTGCAGAGTCTGAAGGTGTCACATCCTCTGGTCTCTGTTGCACAAGTGAGGACGCCAAGGTTCTGAATGCGGCTCTAGGTTGTGTGGGTTGAGCCTTGCATGGGCTTGACACCCTGCTTTGAGTCTCTCCCTTATCCCGCCCTGCTGCATCCCCTTCTTTTTAAATAAAGTACTCTCTAAGCCAGTGGTGATTATGTGCCAGGTACTGGAGAGCTGAGGCAGGAGGATCACTTGAGGCTAGGAGTTCAAGGCCAACTGGGACTTGTCTCAATCAATCATCTATCCCTCTCTGGAGCTATCTTCAGGGAGCAGCCAACCATCTCCTTCTCGTGCTGGTTTTGGTTAGTCACTGGCCTGCCTGTGGCTGGGCCAGGGCTTGGTTTGGAGTTGGGCCCTTGACTCATGGGGGGAGCCAGGGCTGGGCCCAGCTGTGGAAGGGGGTAAGGGAGGCACATGGGTGTGTCAGGGCAGGAAGGCAGAGGATTCAGCCCAGATGCAGGGCATGTGAAAGCAGAACAGCATCCTGGTGTTTTCTGGGACTCCCTGGCTGCAGGCCTGCCCTTTCCTGCCACGGTGGGAGTGGGAGCCGGCCCTGAGGCCAGACCACTGGACAGTGGTGAAGTGAAGGCTGCAGTATAGGATTGGGGAAGAGAAAAGGGTACTTACTGGGTTTAGCGCTCGAGTGAGTGGACTGATTTTCTCAACTACCAAACACAAATTATGAATGCCCACCTTCCCTGTTAATGGTTTGTCGATGCCACGAATGGGACAGCCCCGTGTGAGCATAGAGGTGGTGAGGATGGGAAGGCGTGCTGAGTCACTCTTGGAACCCTGATATTCTTAAGTGCAAAAAGGGGTAACAGTAATTCCTCCTGCAGGTCAGTGTGTGAGAGACTAAAGCAGATAGCTCAAGTATAAACCCTCATCATGCATAGCAATTATCACCAATATCAACTGGAGAAGGAGCCAACATTGGCTATGAAGTGCTTTGTGCTAAGCAGTTTACATAGGTTATTTTATTCCCACAACCCTACTGATGAGAGTTACTAGAGATCCATTTTATTGATGAAGAAATTGAGGTTCAGAGGTGATAATGCCTACTTATGGTCCCACTGCTAAAAAGGGGTTAGTGAGGCTGAGCCTGGCCCACTTTGTTGCAACTAGGGGCACAACCAGGTGGCCTGGGCAAGGGCCTTTCCTCTGGGCCTCAGGTTCCCCATCATCAGTAAAAGGAAAGCAGTAGTGGACTAGATGAGCACCTGGCCCTTCCAGCCCCACAAAGCAGGTGTCTCTTTCAACCACCAGAGGTCTCCCCTCCATCAGCGGGAGATGAGCCCAGCCTGGCCTTGGCTCCTTGACCACACTTGTGCAATGTTTGAAAAGGAAAAGGCAGAAAACCATGGGGTCATTTCAGAGACCAGAGTTTCCCACAAGTCCTGACACCCTGGATAATTCCCCACCATCTCTTGCCAAATGGGATTCCCCACCACATTGTCCTGAGCAAAACCCACTGATTTATAGTTCAAAAACCAGCAGTGGAAGGTTGGGGAAGCCAGAAATATAATTTGACCCCTATATCAAAAGAACTGTTTTTAAAATACATTAAAACCTAACTATTTACCTAGAAGGAATTAGACCAAAACACTGACAGTGATTATCTTGGAGTTAGGTAGGGTGGTGAGGTTTTTGTTTTTCATTTTAAACTCCTTTGTCCTCATTGTATCTCAAAAGGGCACCAGAGAGGCATGTTCCCATTAATGCAACTAAACAAAAAATTCTTTTGCTTAGTTGCTTGGAGGACCGAACACTACCTAGTACTTGACCTCCATGAACCTCAGCTTCATTCTCTGTAAGATAATTAATAAAATGTAGTGCCATCCAACAGAACTCTCTGCCTTTTTTCTGTAGAAAAGATATATTTATATTTGTGCATTGTCCTTAGCTTCATGTGGCATCACTTCTCGGCGTTTTGGCTAAGATCAAGTGTAGCCTCATGTGGCTATTGAGCCCTTGAAATGTGGCTAGTGCAACTGAGATACAGAATACTTTTTTTTTTTTTGGAGACAAGGTCTCGCTGTGTAGCACAGGCTGGCCTCAAACTCACAGCAATCCTCCTATTTCAGCCTCCTGAGCGCTGGGATTACCGATGTGTGCCACCCCACCCAGTTTCCATTGAATACCATCTGCCTATTAATGCAGACAGTCTTATGTGACTAGTAACAACCTTATTTGACAGCACAACATAATGCTTCTTATCCCCATGGTGGCTGTGAGAACTTAATGCTCAGTAAATGACAACATTCATCACTAATGTTAGGTGAGCCTTATAATTTATACCTTTGTTAAAAAGGTGACTTTTTTTCTTTTTTAAAAAAGAAGCCCACTGTATTCTTGAGACTCAGAGACATTTAAAACTTTGGCGAAACACAGTAAAAACCTTTCTTTAAAGATACCCAGATTATCTAAGCCCTAGGAGGAACCTCTCTCTCATTGTGCAAACAAATCCAAAAGCTTCAAACAGGTTCTCACACTCAAAGGTCCCCAGGGGGGCCAGGGATTTAGCTCAGTGGTTTCGCTGCCTGCTTCGCAAGCACAAGGACGTGAGTTCGATCCCTGGTACCAAAAAAAAATAAAGGTCCCCAGGGCAGGACATGTGAGGAAGGTGAGTGGCGCAGCCAGGAGGGGACAGGTGAGAGCGGGGGGCCGTGTCCCGTCTGAAACAGGTAGCCCCTCCTCAGAACCCTGCTGCCACATGGGAATACAAACCCTCATTTCCAAATCTGATTTTTCTAAAGAAGCCGGAAAGCTGGACTTTTGTATGAAATTTGCACATTTTAAAATGTTGGTAACAATTAAAACCAAAAAGCACCCCTGTGTTTGAGCCAAAAAATAAAAACAAGAAGTGACTTGGATGACTTTTTTCTTCCTCTTGCCCAACTCAGAGCCTGTCTCCTGGAAGAGGCTCAGCTAAAACCGGGTGACATCTTCCAGGCCTCCAGGCTCCCTGAGGACACACTCCTGGGTATCTGGTCTGCTATCTCATCTCTGATCCACTCAGCTTCCTGCTCCCTGCCGCCCCTACCCCTGGGAGTATCTCTTCAGTCCCTGGAGAGTCAACTTCCAGCACAGTCAACACCAACAGCTGGATGGCTTTGGGCTGCACACAGACTGTCCTGAGCAATCCCTGTTCTCCCTCCTGGTCCTAAGGGAAGCCACTGCCCAGCACTGGCCTGCCACCCAGATCTGCCTGGGCAGAGCTGTAGAGTGGACCCAGTGGGGCTGGGTGTAGTGTTACATACCTGTAATCTCACCACTCTGGGGGACTGAGGCAGGAGGATCACAAGTTCCAGCCCAGTCTGGGCAACCTAGTGACTTAGTGAGACCCTATCTCAAATAAAAAATTAAATAAATAGGGCTGATGATGTAAGTCAGTGTGAAGGCCCTGAAGTACCAGAAAAAAAGAGAAGATAAGAGCAGAACAGGCTTAGTGGCCCTAGAACATTTCCTAATTTGGGAAGAGTACTGTTTCTGGCTTGGGCATGACACAGGAAAAGGAAATAGGATCATAGGAGGGAGCTGGAGTTCACATAAGAGTACCAGAGAGGGTAAAAATGGAAACAGGGCAACCTGAAGACAGAAGAGTTAGGTATGGCCTTAATTTGTGCTTTCCCCTTATTTGCACAAGTCTTGGAGCAAAGGATGTTTGAAATGCTCGGTGCATGGGCATCCTGGGGTTAATCAAATCTGGGGAATTCTGTGTCACAGACCTCACTCTCAGAGACTCCCAGTATATGTTTGTATCCTAAAAGTTCTGAGAACTCCTATAATTAAGAAAAATGCAACTTTAACTCACTGTTTCTCAAACTTCTTCAACTCAGAGGCCCCTTCTTTACAACACCAGTGTTCAGGGGTCTCACTCAGAGAATGGTGTCTGTCCCCTCCCCAGCCTGTCTGTGGGAGCTGCTGTGCCAAGGCCAGGCTGTGGCCACACTGCAGCAGATGAGAGCTGGCTGGCCTTCCCTGACAGCCTGGGGCCTTTTCCAGGGCCCTGGGAGAAGCAGCTGGAGCACAGCCTGGGACTGGAACCTGCCCTTCCCTACTCACTCGTCACCACACTGAGAGCCATCGAACATGCATTAAATGTCTTAGGATGTGCCAGGACTTTCCTAAAAATTATTTCATTTTCCTTCCCAGACCCCACCAGCTTTGGGGGGAGAAGTCCCACCACACTTTACAGAGGAAACTGAAGCTCACAGCAATGAGAGGACTTCGCCATGGCCACACTGTACAGTGCCCTCCCAGCAGCACCCCACCCTCTTGCATGGGGGAAGACACATCGGTCTCCTTTTCTCTGTGGAGCCCCACACCCGCCAAATTCATTTAATAGGTATTTTATTAGATTCCAGGGTTGAACCCTAGGAAGTGTGACTCCACAGGTCTGGGGTAGGGTTCAGCCATCTGTATTTCAGGGAAGTTCTCCAGTGATTGTGATAAATAGCCAGTTTGGGAAAGAACTGTTTTAGTGAGTACTCAGGGAACCCTTGCTTGGGGGCAGAGGAGAATCTGTCACTGGCTCAATTCTCATTTGACCTGTTGCCCCTTTGATCCCCCCTTTAGTAGTAAGTGCTCCCCAGGAAGGACCAGGATATCATACATCTTCCTGTCTGCCCTGAATTAAGGAAAAGGGTACCAGATGGCTCAGGATGAGTGTGAGGTGCCACAAGAAAGAGCAGAGTTGCCATAGCCCTGGATGGTACATGCCAGGGACGAGGTCAGCCTGGCTGTCCTGGACCAGTGTGGGACCCCACCAGCCAAAGCCAACTCCTCACTTTGGCTTCATTTCTGAGGAGGCCTGCCTGGACCCCCACTGCTCTCCTGGTAGCTCAGAGCCCCTGCCCACAGCCCCACAAGGCAGCCAAGGCAGCCGGGGCTGGGGAGGGATTGGGCCTGAGGCTGCCTGTGGCCCTGTCTCCCTCCTCTGCAGGACAAATTTCTGGAGATGAGCACATTCCTGCCACAGGATGTTCTTGGCTGTGGGTGGTGAGAAGAGACTCAGGGCTGCAGCCCTGGGGTACACAGTGAGGGCAGGGCAGGAGCCTGCAGCCAGCGGGAGTGAGCAGAGCACCCAGAGCTGGCAGGGTGCCCCGGGCACAGCTTCTCCCATGGTTTCTTTGGGGTTTCTGGGTCTGAGTTGGGGTTGGGGAAAGGGAGCTGCCTACCTCTTCTTATTCCCCATGTTGGCCTCTCCAGGGCCTGACGGCATGCTGGGGCCAGAGTGAGGAGAGGTGGCTGCTCTCCTCTCTGGCTGGCCCGCCACCCCCTGAAGGACTGCAGACAGCTGCTACAGTCCCCCTTCTGTCATACCACACCTCTCTCCCCCATGATGCAAGCATCCATGTACTCACCTTGTCGATGACCCCGACCACCCGGCAGCCTCTCAGCTGCTCCAGGGCAGAGCGCAGTGTGCGGATGGGCCGGAGCCGCAGGCTGCTGAACCCCTGCAGAGGAGGGAGACGGGGCCACAGGCAGCCTCAGGCCCAATCCCTCCTCAGCCCCAGCTGCCTTGGCTGCCTTGTGGGGCTGTGGGCAGGGGCTCTGAGCTACCAGGAGAGCAGTGGGGGTCCAGGCAGGCCTCCTCAGAAATGAGGCCAGAGTGAGGAGTTGGCTTTGGCTGGTAGGGTCCCACACTGGTCCAGGGCAGCCAGGCTGCCTCTTTGCTCAGCCCCCACCCAGCCCCCCAGGTCCAGGAAGTTCTTGGGGCTTCAGAAGCCCCCTCTCAAAAGCACCATCCACAGGTGCCAGAATGTTCCTAGGATGAGGGGTAGGAAATGTGGGCTTGGGGAACATGCCTAGGACACCAAGCCACTTGCTTTTGGGAAAGGCAGCCTACAAGGGACACTGCAAGCCCCGGGCATGTGTACGGCACGTGCATAAGCCTGCGTGTGCTGGGAAGTGTGTGTACACGTGTCCACTGGGTTAGGAAAAGCCTCCTGGGGAAGGTCCTGGGCACACACGTACACATGAATTCCTGGGCACATGTGTGCTCCAAACGCTCGTGGCCAGCCCATTCCTAACATGAGCAGAGTCAGAGGCTTTCAGTGAGTGTGTGCACACGTTGTGAGCACCTAACTAACCCTGCAGGAGCCTCGTTGCAGGGTGGTGGATGTGTACAGGTGGCAAGGACTCTTGAGGCTGGACTGGGGATGATTCAGTGAGGTGTCTGAGAATTAATGAACTGTGAGGGCACAGGAAGAGGGACCCCGAAAAGAATAGCTGATTTAGGTCTCCACTACTGGCCTGGTAACCGCCCTGTAGGATAGGGTGGGGGTTGGCACTCCCCTTCACACCCCCCTCCTCCTCAGGCCTTTTGCCAGGAGGGTGCCCTCACCGTGTCAGGGCTGGATCCGCTACCCAGCGTCCGCTGCAGGTGGCAGTTGAAGATCTCTTCAGCTCGCCGAAGGTACTTGGTAATTTTCAGCTTTACTGCCTCACGCCGCTCCTTGTTGGGGTCAACTGTGGGGGATGAAGGTCACCAAGGCCCACCCCTGTCCCAACCCTGACCTTGGCAGAAGCCTGAGCTGCCAGCTCCCATCACCCACCCTCTGTCCTCTACAACAGATGATCCCCATTTCTAAGGCTGCTTCAGCAGATTGTTTCCGAGCCCTGCTCTGGGTGGGAGACTGGCGGAGGAGGAGGAGGAGGAGGAGGAGGAGGAGGAGGAGGAGGAAGGAAGATGGCAAGAGAAGTCTGGGAGCCATGGACACCCCTCAGCTAACTGCAATTGTACCCATCACCTTGCTGAACACCCTCTCACGCTGGAGTTACGTCTAGGAGTGGACAGCTTGTCACTCTGTGTCATGCCATTGGGAAGGGGCAGAGCAGGGATTTCCATGCACAGTTTTTTTCAGAAGAGGAGATGGAAGCTTCCAGACAGCATTGCTTCCTCCATCTCTGATCCCCAGTGCGAAAAAGGCCAGGGTGGAGACCAGATCAGAGGGCAAAGGAACCCATTGCACAGGCCTGCGGCCCACACTTGCAAGGATCTTTTCCGCAGGTGCGCAGGAGGGGTAAGTCGGGCTGACTCCTACCCACAGCCTGGCCACAAGGCCCTCAGGGATCTCAAACTGGCCTCAGCACCCGCCTCTCCCCCAGTGAGGCAATGGCTCATTCTGCCCGAACAGGCCTCCCCTCTTCCTCCGGGCCTTGGCAGCCTCCCTCTCTCTCTGGAGCACAGCCGGGCCCTCCACTGGACAATCCACCCTCTGTTCTCCAGCACACATGTAAATTTCCACTTCCAGAAAATGTCCCGTGCTGGCCCAACCTGGCCTGTTTCCCTCTTCCCTTCCTTCACTTCTTCCTCATTGCTCTTCCCACCTGGGACTATAATTGGTCATTATCAATTCATCAGTCATCTACCTAAGCCCACACTCCCAAGTAGAATGTAAATTCCCAGGGGACAGCAGCCCAGCCCAGGTCCTGGGAGAGTCAAATATAGTGGATCCCAGCAGCCAAAGCTGCCAATGCTAGTCCAGCTCCAGTTGTACCCCTGCTAGCCATGGAGCTTCAAGCAAGCTATTTAACTGGCCCAGGCCTCTGTTTTTTTATCCGGAAAATGAGTATTTAAAAAAAGGTTTCTGCTGGGCATAGTGGCACACATCTGTAGTCCCAGCACTCAGGAGGCTGAGGCAGGAGGATCACTTGAACCCAGGAGTTCAAGCCCAGCCTGGGCAACAAAGTGAGACCCTGGCTCAAAAAAAAATAGTTTCTATATTCTTGAAACAATAATGATTTCTATTACTGTGAGGCTCAATGCCTGGAGCTGCTTAATAAATGCTAGTTGTCATTGCCCACGGAGGCTCTGCTGCTAGCATAGTGGCCCCCACCAGTATGGATGGACAGAGGACGCCACTGGCAAATGACAGGGCAAGCCCTGCACTGGCCCTTTCCCACCTGTCCCCAGCCCTGGTCCTCACCGTGTACACCACGGAGCAGCACATCCACGCCATTCTGGTAGTGGTTGAAGGCTGCCTCATAGTCCTCACTAACGTCACGCTCTAAGGCCAGTCGGATCTGTGTGGCTGCGTCCACCAGGTAGTCACACTTGGTCATGTCAGATGCCCCCGCGGCCGCCCGGCTGTGAATCTGCTCCAGGTAAACACAGGCCTGGGATCGTGGTCGTGAGCAGGGCTTGGACTCCAGGCCTCGGCTAGGCAGGCATTCAAAGGCCACCAGGCTCATGGCTTCCCTGTGTCTGGGGTCTGGAACAAGCAAATGCATTAGGGAGGGCCCAGCTGAGAGCCCCACCTCTGCCTGCACCCTGGTTTCTTCCACAGAACGCTGGGAGACTGACATTCACCTCCAAAGCCTGGAGGATTGAGAGCCCAGATGGGTAGGTACATTCAGTGAGTCAGGTCCTTCCTAGGGCAGAATGACTGAATAACATAGGGTAGGGGTGTTTTCCTTTCCATTCAAATTCAGTTCGACAAGTACTTCTTTATTTCTAAACTTTTTTTTTTTTTTTGGTACCGGGGATTGAACTCGGGACCTTGTGCTTGTGAGGCAGGCAGCAGAACCACTGAGCTAAAATCCCTGGCCCATCGACAAGTACTTCTTGAGCACGTGCTCCATTCTGAGCAGTGGAGAGCGTGGAGGAGATCTGTGATCCAGAGCAAACCCTGTGCCTAGTACAGGTAAGGGAATGGAAGCCACACTCTGGGCTCAAAGGCTGCTCCTCACATTGTCCCCTCCCTTCCTGTTCCCCCCTCCCTGTTCCTCTGGTGGGAACTTGGCTTATTTATCTTTTGGGTTCAGCCCAGTGGCACCTCTCCCAGGACAAGATGGATTGTCCTTGCTTTGTTTCGTTCCCCTTGGTCCCGAGGTCAGCATGGTCAGTGAGTGAGGACCCCCATCCCCCACCCTGGAGATGGCACGGACCTGGGCCTTCAAGGGCCTGAGCAGAAGAGGTTTGTGACTGGCAGATTCAGCGCCACCTTCGGTAGAGTTAGATAAAAGAGTGCAGGGTGACCCAGCCCTCTAGGAGGGGATTGCTCTGTCCTCCCAGCTCTGTCCCAGAGAGGCTTCTCCCTCTGCAGTGCGAGACACATGGCCAAAGGGATAAGAGCAGTGGCTGCGAAGAGGAAGGGGCTCACACCTCACTGCGGCCTCACAGCCAGCCACTGCGGAGGGGCCGGGAGGGGCCGGGAGGGACCGGCCAGGGCATCCCAAGCCCAGGCCTCCGTGAGAGAGGCACGAACAGATGGAAGGAGAGTGGGGAGGAAACCTCATCCCAAGGCAGTGCGGAGCTGAGCACGGGCCAGGGTGCAGCCAGCAGGTGGAGGGAGGCAGGCCCTCCCTGCTTGGGCCAACCCAGGAGGGCACGGAGCTCCGAGTCCTGTGCTCGGGCGCACCCAGGCCCAACTCAGGGCTGGCTTCTGCGGTCAGAGGACCCGGTCACGCCTCGGACTCCAAAAGCCATGCGTGCAGCCTCCAGCGACCCGCACGTAAGGTGCACGGTCCCGTGGGGAATGGTCAACGCAGGCCGGGCTGGGGCCGTGAGAGGAGAGGGCTCCTCACCTGGGAAGATGGAAGAGGAACCGAGCAAACACCGTTCCCGCCAGAGCCTGGAGCTCCGTGAACCGGCCAGACCTCGCCGGCAGCCACCGCCCGGCGGGCGAGCGTGCTCCGCAGACCGCTGCCTTCGCCCTCTGGACAGGGGCGGGGTCCGGCCCCGAGAAGCCCCGCCATTGGTTGAGGATGAGGTCATTATACCCGTTAGAATAAACCACCAATCACCGCCCGGCTCGGCTTCCACCCGACCCTTAAAGCTGCAGAATCTGCGCTGCAGTGTGCTGGGGGCGGGGGTGGGAGGCTGGAGCGTAGAAGGTGGGTGGGGGTGGGGGTGGGGTGGAGATGGAGGTAGGGTGAGGTGAGGTCGGCGGCAGTCGATGGTGAGGGGGTGGGGGCGGGTGGGGGCGGGAAGAGGCAATCTATTGTCACCCAGGGATGAGGGAGGGGCTACTTCAGAAACAAAGGCCGACTGACCAGCTCCGGTGGCACTTTACACTTTTCTCAACTCTGTGATGATTACAGCTCTGCCCAGGAGCCCAGATGCTGAGATGCACCGATGTCATGAACAGCTAAGAGCTAAATAGTAGAGTACACGTTTGGTTTCACAGTGGTCAACGTTGTGAGGGAGAGGTGTGCCCTAGTCTGGGTCGGGAGACTTTCTGGAGGAAGCAGTGTGTGAACTGAGCTTAGAGTTCAAGAGCACAGGCCTCACGTGTGTGCCCGATGCAGCCAGCCGGACGGACTCACTCTGTCCTGCCCCACTGCGCTTGCGCGCCCCTGGACCCCTTCCAAGCATTCTCAATTCCGCTGCATCCTCGCTGTCAATTAATTCAGAGCTCTCGCTTTCAACTTCCTACCAAGAGACTGGAGCCTCTCCCTTCTTTCCACAGATGACCTGGTGTGCCCAGTCTTCCACTTGGAGATCAGTCCTGTCCCTTCACCTACACAAGGACCCACTCCACCAATTCTTTCTTACGTTATTAAGTTTTGGTTCTCACTAGATCAGTCCCATTGGGTACAAACATAATATACTTTTCTCCTTTCTTAAAGGCAATGAAAATGCCAGGTGACAAGGCATGGGCATGCGGTCCCATCTGCTCCAGAGGTGGAGGCATGAGGATTGATTGAGCCCAGGAATTCAGGACCTGCCTGGGCAACATGGTGAGACTTCCTCTCTAAAAAATAAAAATAAAAAAGCAAACCAAGAAAACAAAATAAAGGATATTCTTGGCTTTACTTCTCCCTTTATTACCACCCTAGGTTCCCAGAAAAACCCATTTAAAGAGATGTGAGCCACGAAAGTTCAAGGACCCAAGTTTGATCCCCCGTACCAAAAAAAAAAAAAAGATGTGAGCCAGGCGTAGTGGGACATACCTGTAATCCCAGCACTCGGGAGGCTGAGGCAGAAGGATCAAGGAGAGTTTGAGACCATGCTGGGCTACAGAGCAAGACCCCATCTCAAAACAAAACAAAGAAAAGCAGCAACCTGTGGAATGGGAGAAAATATTGGAATTATATATCTGAAAAAGGTCTAGTAACTAGAATATATAAAGAGCTTTTACTGCTTAACAATACAAACACCGATAACCCACTTTCAAAGTGGACAAGGAATTTTTTAATAGACATTTCTCCAAAGAAAATATGCAAATAAACCACTAAGCACAAGAGAAGATGCTTGACATCATTAGTCACTAGGGGAACACAGATTAAAACACCAACTAGGGATGGCCATAATAAAAAAGAGAATAGTAGCAAATCTTGGCAGGATCTGGAGAAGCTGGAACCTTCATACTTTGCTGATGAGGGTGCAAAATGGTGCCATTGCTTTGGAAAGCAATTTCCTCAAAACTTAAACACAGGCGAGGTGTGGTGGCGCACGCGTGTAATCCCAGCACTCAGGAGGCTGAGGCAGGAGGATCGCTGTTAATTCAAGGCCAGCCTGAGCTACATAATGAGATCCTGTTTTAAAACAAGTGAACAAACAAACAAAAAATTTAGAAGACCACTTAAACAAGTTACCACAAGACCCAACAACCCACTTTAAATTATGTGCTCAAGAGAATTGAACACATGTTGACATGAAAACTTGTACATAAATGTTTACAGCACCATTATTCATAATAGTGAGAAAGTGGAAACAACCCAAATGCCTATCAACTGATGAATAGGTGTGATATATACGTACAATGGAATATTATTTAATCATAAAGCAAATGAAATGCTGATACATGCTACAACATGAATGAATCCTGAAAATAGTACACTAAGTGAAAGAAGCCAGACACAAAAAGCCATACACTGTATTGCAGGAGTCCAGCTTGAATCGACACCGTGTGATTCCATTTGTATGATGTTTCCACAATAGTCAAATCCATAGAGATGGAAAGTAGACGTCAGGGAGGGGGAATGGGTATTGGCATTCTTTTGGAGGGGCGTCAATAATTGTTCTGAAGTAGATGGTGGTTACAGTTGCATATCTTATGAATATACTAACAATCAGTGAACTACGTATTTTAAGAGGCTGAATTATATCTCCAGAAAAAAATCATCATGATGAAAGAGAAACAACAATTAAATCTGAACTCTTGATCCTCCTCAGAAACTTCCTCTACATGAAGCCTCTCCACACCATCCAGATGATCCATCCATGAGGATGATCTGTCCTTCTTGTCCATCAGGCCACAAAGTTTAGAACCATTTCACACCCCACATTGAATCTATTAGAATATCACAATGGTGGGGCTGGGGATTTAGCTCAGTGGTTCCATCACCTGCCTCGCAAGCGCAAGGTCCTGAGTTCGATCCCTGGTACCAAAGAAAAAGAAAAGAATATCACAATGGTTTTTCCTTTGTAATATACCCGGAATCCAAACACTTCTCACCCATTGCTATGACCTATCTTTATCTTGTGCCTCACTGCCTTACTGTAGGAGACTCCAACTGTCTTCCTCATTCTACACTTGCCATCCTAAAGGCAATTCTCAACTCTGTGTCAGAGGACTCTCTCAAAACTTAAGTCACATTCTGTCCCTCCTCTGCTCAAAACCCTGTGGAGGTTCCACCTTATTCCAAGAAGAACTCAAAGCCCTCCTATGGTCTCCAAGGCCCTTCACCACTTCCCTCTTCCTAATCCCTTTGATAATCCCTTCCTAATCTCAACCTGCTAGATGCCAGATACGCTGAGTTCGTGTTCCCCAAAATTGAAGAATGAATTCTAAGGAACAACGGAGGTTAAAAGTAGGGAAATTTTATTGAGAGAGAGAGAGATAGATCCTGAGAGATTTATCCTGAGGGGACCCAAAAGTGGGTTGCAATGAGCCCACTTCTCAAAGGAAGTTTTATAGAGCAAAACCATGAGGTGAGCTGGCAATTTAGCTCAGTGGTTCCACTGCCTGCCTTGCAAGCACAAGGTCCTGAGTTCAATCCCCATACCACCCCCCCCCAAATCATGAGGTGAGTACAAAATCATGAGGTGGGTACAACGTGGGTCAAAAATATGATCAACCAATAAGATTACAAGTATAGCTGCTTAGGTAGAGTATTGATCCAATGGGAAAGCAGGTCACATACCAAATGTACATGGAAAGAACAAAGACTTTTTTTTTAAAAAAAGGGAAGGGGTTTATTTGGCTTACAGTTCATAGAGGTTTCAGTCCATAATCAGCAACTCCAAGGCAGGGACGACAAACAGGCATGGCAGAGCAGAAACAACATGGCACACACAAGGCAGCAAAGGTAACAAGAGAAGTTGACAGCATCTCCCTGCCCCTTTTACCTTACTCAGACTACTTAGGGCAGGTAGCACTCACACCCTTAATCCTAGTGGCCTGGAGCCTAGCATTGCATCATGAATCAATTCCAGCTTCACACTCTCTAGATCAAGCCTATGACCACATGAGGCTTTGAGGGGACATCTGGACCCAAACCATAACATTCCGCCCTTGGCCTCCCAAAGACTCATGCACATTCCTTTACACAAAAGGCATTTAGTCCAGCTCTAAGAGTTGCCAAAGTTCTAATATATATATATACATATATTGGTACCAGGGATTGAACTCGGGTCCTTGCGCTTGCGCAGCAGGTGACGAAACCACTGAGCTAAATCCCCGGCCCCAAAGTTCTAATATTAAGGATTGCTGGAAAGCCCAAGTTCCAATTTACTCTGAGATTTAAGGCAAACTCAGCTGCAAGTCCCTGTACAAATGAAAAGAAAGTTAAACACTTCCAACATTCAATGGCACAAAATAAACATTACCATTCTAAAAGGTACAAATAGGGGGATACAAAGGAATGGGACCAAGGCAAGTCCAAAATCCAGTAGGGGAAACATTAAATCCCACAGTTCCATTTCCAGCATCCCCAGCAATCTGTGGCAAGTTGTGAACTCCAAAGGATTCTGGTGGTTCCACCCCTACGGCACTTTTGGTGGTTGGAGCTCCCATGCCTTCTCTCTTAGGCCAGCCCTGCTCCCTCCTTGCAGCTTTCCTCAGACAATCCACACTCCTAGCTTCTCCAAACTTCTGGGGTCTCCAATGCACCTCCAGCTTCACACTCGCAGCTTCACACACGGCCCTCTCAGAGCCACACTGCCTGGCCTCCCAGGCCTTCTGAAATCTGGGTGGGAGCCTTCCTGACCCCACAACTCTTGCATTCTCCACGCACCTAAAACCAGCACCAGATGGATGATGCCAAGGTCTGCTGCCAGCTGGAGCAGTAGTAGCCAGTCTTCCCTCTCTCTTGGCTGTAAGGGTCGAGTGCCTGGATTGCTGAGCACTCTGAACTCAATCCTGGGAACAAATTCTCTAGGCTGCCACCATTTTGGAACAACTTCCCTAGGCCACTTCCATTCTGGAACATGGTGTGGCTGTTGCCATTTTGGAACCCGGTTCTCTGGGACTTTTTTCTCAAGGCAAATTCCTTCACCTTTATAACTCTGAGTCTGCAAAGTGTGGAGTCCTGCTGCCTCCTGTGATGCTCTTAAACCACCTTTTCTATTTTCCTGTTCCTTCTCAGTAATCAAGATCTGCTCTGCTCTATCTTTGCAGTCCACAGCTTTACTGGAGCTTCCTTTCTTGCCAAACTCAAAACATTTTAAATCATTCTGCTGGGCCCTTTGCTCTTGATTCTCAACATAGATCTGGCTAAAAGCCCCCAACAGTAGCCATGCCACCACCTTAATATTTGACTGTCTTGAAATTTCTTCTGCAAGATTAATTAGTCCACCACCCTTAATATCAGTCTTAGACAAAGTCTCTGGACATGAACAAAATTCAGACAAACTTTCTTCCAAGCCATAACACACATCGTCTGGAGTCCAACAGCCAATACAGTCCTTCTTCCTAGCAGAAACCTTCCTAGCCTGGGCTTTATAAGCTTTCTGGTCTTCTGATCTCTGACCAGAATCTCACATACAGGATAGCCTAAGGTGTTCCAGCCCTACTTTTTTAGCTGGTGGCACTGAATCTTCCAGCAAAGTCTCTGAACATGAGCAAAATTCAGACAAACTTTCTGTCAAATCATAACAAACATCTTCTGGAGTCCAGCAGCCAATGCAGTCCTCCTTCCCAGCAGAAACCTCCTGAGCCCGGTCTCTACTGGCTTTCTGGTCTTCTGAGCGCTGACAAGAACAACCTAAGGCATTCCAGAGCTGCTTCTGTAGCCAACATCTCTGGATCTTTCCTAACTCTTCTCCTTCCCACAAGCCAGTTCCAAAGGCTTTTGAGCCACATGGCCAGGTAATGTCACAGCAATGACCCTACTTCTCTGGTACCAAATTTCTGTGTTATTTTTCTCTCATTGCTGAGACAAAATACCAGACACCCAAAGTGAAAGGGGAAGGGGTTTATTTGGTTTACAATTCATAGAGGTTTCAGTCCATAATCAGCCAACTCCAAGGCAGGAACAACAAACAGGCATGGCAGAGCAGAAACAACATGGCACACACAAGGCAGCAAAGGTAACAAGAGCACTAAGACCTTTTTAGGAAGGGATGGATCAGGAGGCCCTGGTCGCCCACCTGGGTGACTGATATCTATCTAGACTTTTTTGGACCAGGTGATACCAATTATAGTATACTCTTCAATTTATTGCTTATTCCTTGAGGAGGCCAGTCCTTCTTATTTTCATTTTTGAGATAGGGTCTGGCTAAATTGTCCAGTCTGGCCTCAAACTTGGGATCTACCTGTCTCTTACAGGTGTGCTCCACTATGCCCCACCTTGAGAACTAATTTTTTATTGTGTTAAGTCACAAGAGTTTGGGATTTTTGTTTGTTTGACACAGGGTCCGGGTACGTAGTTTAGGCTGGTCTTGAACTCACTTTGTAGCCCAGGCTGGCCTTGAACTCAC